TGTGTATTCATTCTATTTAATGTCATTTAATAGAATTTTTGTTACAATCTTATGTACAATTATGCCTAAAATAAACAATAAACAAATTAAAAAAAAAACATTTAGATAATTGATAATGTGAGTTTGTGTTGCAAGTAATTATAAACCCAGTTATCGTGTCTCTGAAACTCGTGATCAATTCTTTACAGCATTTTAGAAGCCCTATATTAGCTAGTGAAATATGTTTATAATATTTATGATTGTCTACGAAAGTTTTTGAACAATATAAAGATAAGCATAGGAACAAGCGCACATACTAAACAATGCCTGGTACTTGACAAACTTTGATAAGATAACGTCTAATTGTTCTTCAATCATTGACAGCATCTTATATCAAACACTGTTTCTATTGGGGCTCACAATATTGATGAGTTTATTTCTAGAAGAATACCGCTCAGTTGATATAATATAATAATAAGCAGAATCTAGTAAAGATTCTGCTTTTAAATTTGTATAAAACAATGTTGACGTGTTTAAAAACTTTGCAGAATTCTTAGCTTATTCACTGGTTGTGAGAATTATATGTTGTTTTGAGAAATTTGTTTCTCCAATTTTCAATCTATAATAAATCGTTTTAAAAAAAAAATTGAAACGACTTCAAACAATACTAACTTAGAGCACTAAAAACCTAGCTGCAATCGCAGTTGATTTGCTATCATTTTTTGAAGAGTTCCGTTGTCTCTCTCCGAAACTCATCATCAAAAAAAAAATTTTAAAAGCTGTCTATATCTGACACAGTTATGCAAGAACATACCAACATGCAAGAAAATACAAACATCCTAATTGATAACCTCCTCCTTATTTCAGTCGTTTAAAAAATAAACAACTTTACAATCCTTAATCTGTTCTCGAGCGTATTGATATTAGATATTTTCTGAGAGATACATTTATTGATTTACAATGACAATTATTTTTATTTTATTTCAGCTAACATATATTATTACAGTAGTTTATCTAACCGTTAAATGTTAAAATAGTATAGATATATTGACTACCGGTAAATATCTCTCTCTTTATTCAACTGGCTAAAGCGTCGGACTTGAGAACAAGAGCTTGCAGCTTCAAATCATATCCATTCCATTCACTAACTCATTTCTAAAATAAGCGAAGAAGAAGAGAAGTAGAAGAGGTTAAGATGAACAAGAGTAATATGCAAGAGACTAGTAATAGTCTTTTACAGCAACTAACCACTAAACTCTGCAGGAAAACAGCACTGCAAAGAGAAGGAAAACTTGACACAAAAACTATAACAACTTGTCTGGCCCGCGTGGTATAGTAGGCCAAGGCCAGGTATTTCTAAGGAGTGGCCTATGTCCAGCAGGAGACTATTAAATGCTGTTGATGATGATGATGAACCACTAAACAACTTCTAACAGACCAGTATCAGGTCCTTGGTACCTTTAGAACAGCCTTTTCAATTAGGTTTTCAATTAATTATTTTAAATTTTAAATGCCTCATGTAAGTGTATTTGCTGGTTTAACTTTTTCCTAAAGTGTTTAGTTCTTTGGTGTTATATGTGTACGTAAGTACGTACTGAGTAGTTAAGGTACTTTGAACATTACTTACTATAATGTTAGTTAATGAACGTTGGGTCTGGTACTTTGATAAGAAAGGTAGCCATATTTAGTGTGTCTAGAAACTTGCTGCACATGTCTAAATAAGTTATGAATCACTGGTCAAATGTAAGTCTGACACGCGCATCGTTCCGTAAGCAAACAAACCGCAGACATAATTATTTGATTTTAATTTTAATGCCTAAGCGTGTTGCTGGAATAGTTAGAATAGATGGACAACAAAGTGATGCTATAAATATATAATATTATTAATATTTTGAGATTGGTCCTTCCGATACCATAATCAGATTCTGACTTGCAAGCCTATTAACAAAAGCTATATATGAATAAAACTATTTATACTTATTCCTTTAAAAAACATAGGGCGCGAAAAAATTTCATATTTGGAATATTAATTGTTTATATTTAGAAGAAGTGCAGGAAGTTTAAATTAAAAAAAAAAACATGTGCACCAAAGTCAAAAATTATGTAAAACGGTATATATTTTGACTTTTCATAGACCTATCGTGCAATTCAAATTATTATTGATGATTAAAATAAGTGGGCGTCCTACACTGCGTTTACCGATACGCGGCCTCCACGCTCTTAGATTTATAGTGTTTTGTCTATGCTCCACTCAAGAACTCGTTTGCCCCATCGGTTGTCTGTTCTGCGCTTGAGCCCCTCCCCATTAGACAATTGCGTAGAGTGGGTACAATTTTGCCCTCGAACTTGAACCTGCTTCTGTAAAGGTTTGGATGTCACCTTTAAGTAACTGCTTACAACGAGGTTATTTCTTTTTTGTTATATCTGACTTACTTCGCAGAAAGGGGCGATTAGATAATGTATTTTACTCTCTTATTATTATTTTTGTAATATATGACAATATTTTACATTTCTTAAATGATTGGGTTATATTTAAATTTATATAACTGCCATCTATGTTTACTCGCAAAAACTAAATGCAGTACTCTATAACTCTAACGCCACCTCGTAGTTTGGTTTAAAACTATATGAGAAAGGTAAATTAGACTCAAGTAAAACAGAAAAAATGAATCATGACATTCTTGCGAGTCAGATAGCTCTGACTGACTTTAACAATGACATGATGTAGGAAAATAGAAAATGTCATTTCATTATTAGGTCTTCTTTACTTACCTGTTAAACACCTACAGCAAAATTAGATGACTTTGCAAAATAATCAAAATTTGGTCACAAGTTAGTTCGTTAACAACGAACATGTAGACAGAGCTGCGTTCTAGACTGAAACCCACCTTGCATTTTGACATAACATTTTGTATAATTGAACAGCTCTTCAACATTACTAAATAAATCAAAGACACCAATCCTGCATTTAGCCAGTAAATAAACACCTGATAGCAATTTACCATGTACTTACTTCTTTTTTGCGTTCATCAGCCTTTTAGAAACCGGCTATTCCAAAACAAGTAGTTTTATTTTAGACTGCGTCATACCTTGCTATACCTTGCAATATCGTAACGTATTTTTATTTCACAATTCTCTTAAAGTAATATCTGCCATTAAAGTTGTTTCAATAATTTTATCTAGAGTATAAATGACGAGTATAAATGTCATAGTACTTTTTTATATTTGTTTGTTTGTCATACAACTTTACATGAATAGCACAGTTTTTTTTTTTTTTTTGGGTAAAAATAAAACAGAACCTTCGCTGAATAATGTGTTTAATGTCGAAAAACGCAAAAAAAAAGTATAACAAAGAATCGAGGAAATACATGGTACCATAAGTATATTAAAATACCTACAATACACTCAGAACATTACTAATTCAATTTTTACTAACTATTAATTAACAGTTTTAAATCGAAAAAAATACTTACTTTGAACATGAAAATTTGAATGCGTTATGTTTTTAATCCTGCTCTTCATAAAGAATTTTCCTCGTTTTCAGGATATTTACTAATTCTATAATTAAACTTATTTTTAAGTAATCTAGACTTACTAAGGTAATATAAAACCATTGAAATTAAAATTAACAAGATCAAGACCACACAGACCTCAGTAACAACAGACTTTGTATTTTGATTTGAGGCTGTGTAAACGAATTGACTTTTAGGATTATTTCTAAAATCAAAATATTTAATTAATGAGTTTCTTATTTTTTCAAGTAAAATGTTAGTGTTATTATTATAAATTTCTAAATTAGATAGTTTTTGATTCATAAGATTTGAAACTTCAAGAAATTCCCTGTAAATGTTTTTGTTCCCATTATTGTCAGTTACAGATGTGGGTTTAGTCACTCGAAATTTATTACACACTACACCGTTAACATTTTCTTGACCATGTTCACTTATTCTGATAGAAGTAATTTTCAAATGCAAAGAATTCCGTTCATGTTTTACTAATGTTTCACATGATAAAGGATTGTCACCTATACTTAATTCATCCAAATGCGTAGAAAAAGTCTCAAGTGTGTTTATCGATTCAATTTCATTAAAATCTACAATTAACCGCGTTAACTTCTGAGTATCAAAGAATGTTTCGGACTGCAACTCTCTTAAGTTATTATATGATATATTTAAAACATCTAATTTTTGTAAACCACGGAAAATTCCGTAATTGACAGTGGCTAAAAGATTATGCGATATATTCAAAGAAAGCAAAGCTGTGTTACTTCTAAATACCCCTGGTTGTATTAAAGATATTTTATTGAAACTTAAATCTAAATTTTTAAGTGAGCTAAATCCCATAAAATCTTCTATTCGCAAAATAGAAATATTGTTATAGCTTAAATTTAAAAACTTTAAACTCACCAGATATAAAACTGCTTTCAATCTACTTTCAATAATCGATGAATTATCTGCAGTAAAAGACGATATTTGTTTTATCTTATTGTGAGATAAGTCAATTATTTGTAACCGAGACAATTTATTCAGTTCTGTAGTTAAAATAGTTTTTATTAAGTTATTATTTAAGAGAAGTGTCGTTAGTCTAATTAAATCCGAAGTATTAACAGCAAAATTTTGCATTTTATTATAAGAAAGATCAAGTATTTCTATGTGCCCTGTATTGATAAATACATTATACTGTAGTTCACTTATTACACATCCAGATACATTAAGTACCTTTAATTCAGACATATCATTGAACGAAGCATTTGCTATTGCAGTTAACATACTATGTGAAATATCAAGAATAGGTATTGAATCCAAACCATCAAAAGTATTAGATTCTAATGTTCCAACTAATGAATTGTTACTTATATCAAAGTTCATCAAATACTTGAGTGGATGAAATATATTTAATCCTATACGAGAAATGAAGTTGCCAGATAGATTTAATTGCTTGAGATTAATTAATTGGTCGAATTGCTTATAATTTATTTCAGCCAAACGATTATTCTGTAGAAATAAATATTGCAGATTGGCTTAATCTTTTTTATTAAAGTTTAAGTTACTTATTTGATTATCAGATAAGTTAAGGACCACCAAATTTATTAAAGTTTCGAAGCTGTTGTTACACACAGTTTTGATTCTATTGGAATTTAGAAGTAGAACTTTAAGCTTGGTGAGGTTATAAAAAGCGTAGTTTTGTATTTCGGTCAAACGTTCATAACTAAAATCTAATTTTTCAGCATCAACGTGTTCTAACATGCCTTTAACCAGTGAACCCTCTAAATTATTTTCAGTGAATATATAATTCAAAATATTGTTCTTAAATAAACCTAATGGTAAGGTTTTCAGTTTATTACTTGAGACGTTAATGATGCTTAGTGACTGTAAATTTGAAAATGTTTTGTTATCAATACTTTCTAGCAGATTATTACTTAAATCAATATATTTTAGTCGAATCGTGTTTTGCAAGACATTAACATTTATTTCCTTTATGAGGTTATAGCTCAGATCAAGAGTTTCAAGATTAACTAATCGTTCAAATTCATTTGGTTGAATATTTTCAATTTTATTTCCACTGATATTAAGATATTGCAATTGTTTTAAGTAAACTAAGTACGAATGTGTACTTACTAAAAAATTATTTGATATGTCCAGTTCCGTGATATCTTTATTATATTCGAAGCTTTTTTGATTTATATTACTAATGAAATTGTATGATAAATTAACTTTTTGCAAAACCTTAAATTTATCAAATGTTTTCGCGTCAATTTTCTTTAGCTGATTATGTGATATGTTAATTTTAGTCAGGTTAGTAAACGGTTGCTCGGTACTTCTTATCTGTATAATACTTATCCTATTATGGGATAAATCTATTTCACTCAGCCTGCTCAGTTTATTAATATTCGAAAGCACAGCTGTAGTCAGAAAGTTTCTTGACAAATTAAGTTTAACAAGATTTATCATGCTTATTATCGACGGTGTCTTGTAACTCCTTTTGTGGCTTATATCTAAGCTAGTGATTATGTCAATCAAATCCATTTCATATGAAAACATATCTAGCATTGATACCGGTTCAAGAGACACATCAGACTGTTCGAAGACAAATTCCACATTATAATAGTGATGTCCATTGTATGTCACAGCTGGTTGACACTCGACATCTCGATACTGTCCATTTGGTGGATTTTGAAATTCATAAATACTCACATCAACTTGATCCACACAATTCAATATATATGTGCATTGAACTTCACTGACCGAACAATACGCGTGTATCACCTGCAGTGTCGATAGGGTTAAATCTGAAAGGAAAAATTTAAACACTTAATTTAAATAAATAAAATTTTATACTTCCACATCTTGTACAGGACGGAAAATAGAGATACATATCCAAAATAACTGATCTAATTATACCTATAAAATAAACAATTCCACCGTAAACATTTTCATTTAAAATGTTGCAAAGATGAGACTATTATTATATAGCTCGAACTGTCAAAAAGTTATCAGATCTCATGTAGAGCCCAACTTCTAACTCTACAAGTCCTAACTTCACAGTTTCTAGAATTTAGTCAAAATATGTGGTTTGGCCGATTAATAATAATAATATATCGCTTCAATGTACATCAGGCATAAATATACAATAATTAACTTAAATAAGATTAGGCAAGTACAAATGGAGGCCTTATCGCTCAGAGGCAATCTCTTACACACAACCGTGGTATGGAGAAAATACATGAAGGGTAAGAGGTATAGGGTAATGGCTGGTGTGTATAGAGGTATAGGATTTATGTATATATATATATATATATATATATATATATATATATATATATATATATATATATATATATATATATATATATATATATATATATATATGTATTTAGATGTGCTTCCCCAGGTGCCAGTCAAGCCCGACCTTGGCCGAGCCTTGACCGGAGCTGTTGTTGATGTCTAAATAATTTTTTCACTTTTTCATTGCTGACAACGAACAAATTTCGACGTCTAGATGGCGGAGTGCTATTCCAAAGGTCGCGGGTTCGATTCCCACTTAAGTCAAACATTTGTTTGTTTGATTAAGTCTGAGTGTTTATTGTAGTAGTGTTTATTTATTTGAGGTATCTATATCAGTTGTCTAGTATCTAGAATGTGTTTGAATATTATTAAATTTAAAAATAATTATAATTAGATAATAATTATTATTTTTAAATTATTATTATTATTATTAAAACACAACATCTACCATATAATATACATTTACACACAGTTACACATAGTTACACATTTTACAACAAAAATATAAATAACACGCTACAACCGGAAACACGTTTGTGTCTTTTGACTTGCTTTTCTCCCGGTGAATAATGCTACCAGCAGCGGCCCGTACCGTAACAGTTAACACGCATGTGACGGTAGTCACTTACTCAAATTATGATCAAACGTTATTTAAGGTATACTTGATTATACATAACAAAGATACAACTACATAATTTTTTATAGAAATAATCACAAAGCAGAACTTACAGAGTATTCGCAAATCCATATTTATTACAATATCTGAAAAAAAACATAATGATTAAAATATTACAATATAATATTGTTCTGAACATATTAAATAGGTACATATTTATTTGTTTATTTTATAACTTTTTGCACAAGTACTTGCATCGGCGGACTTAATACCAAAGGCATTCTGTACCAGTCGACCGATTGGGCGAAGCTGAGAAAGAATGAGGTAGGTGCATTTATGGGGGAGGTAATAAATGATAGAGGTTTTCTTAAATACCAATTATCTTAGAATTTGCTGTACACATCTAAATACCACACACATACATATATCTATAAACGTACATACACATATATATTCACATATACATATATTTACATTGTTGAATGACTAAGTTGAAATAACTCATCTTCATAACTTACCTTTTCCCTTTCCCAATTTTATTTTGTTAAACACTGCCTAGAGTTTTGGCAGTTAACTGTATTGCTATTAACGAATATTATACAACATTGTCATTAGTGATAAAAAGCAAGTTTGCTGGCTAGATATTTTGTAGATGCAGATATTTAACCTGATTAAGATGCAGATATTTTGCCTGATTAAAAAAATTTACCATCCTAAAGTTAAGATCGTAAAGTAAATACCCACAGCTTTTGAACTTTGTCCATAAACTCAACACAACTATTTCAATTCAAATAGTGAATAATAAATGCGCGGTTCCGACAATATAAACTAAGATTCAATTTAAAAACGATAATATATATCATACTAGCTGACCCTGCAAACGATGTTTTGCTATTTTCATTATTAAAAATTTTTTTTTTTTTGAATTTCTTAAAATCCGTTCTTAGCTGACCTCTACTCGGTAAAAAGAATATTCCTACCAAATTTCAAGTCTTTAGCTCTAATGGTTCCAGAGTACATTAAAAAAAAAATGAAGTACATTAATCATTTATTATAGTTTCAGCATTTCAGTACATAGGTTGCTCTTCACTTAAGTACCTTGTGACACACGACATTTTTTCTTTTCTTATCAGGCGCAAAAATAAACAACGCAGATGGTCTTCCGACCAATACTCAACGTTGCAATGTGTCTTGAACGTTTTAGAAATAAGTGGCGAATATGGAACAATCCAACTGTTGTCGACAACGAAATCCATTCTTTTCACTTTTGTTGTGACAGTTCCACCGTTGTCATCTGGTGATCGACGCCGATACAAAAAAAAAAAACGGAATAAATAGTATCCTATGTCCGTCTCCTGGCTCTAAGCTACCTCCTCACCAATTTTCAGCCATATCGGTAAAGCCGTTCTTGAGTTATAAATAGTGTAACTAACACGACTTTCTTTTATATATATAGATACTCTCAGGGTTGAATACATTGTACCAAAACCACTGCCAACAAGTGATGTACTAGTGTAAATGTATCAATAGTAAAAAGTAATGAAGAAATTATAAAAAAGTAATAACGCAGAATGTTTTACACACGAATGAGTAAACACGTAGTATTTTTGACTGATGTGATTTGACGATCGACTTATGACACTAAGCAAGTTAATAATCAAAGTTACACTAGCCAGGCAGAGATTGCTCGATGAAGTTGTAAAAAAAAAATTAAGGCACCTACTAAGTGATGATCTAAGTTCTACTAAGTTCGTAGTATGTTTCGTAGATTTCATTCAACGAACGTAGGAAAACCAAACTTTTAAGATGACTCTGCTTAGTGTGAGCAGAATTACCATGAAATTTGATTTTCCTTTAAAGTAGACATGCATATATAATATCACTATATGTTCACTCAGTAACACGCATCAGCTATCGTCGGAGGATTTTAACAGAATTGCTGTACTTAAGTTTAAAAAACAATTGCTGAACTGATAGAGACATTCTCGGATTTTACGCTTATATTTATCGATTCACTTTAATTCTTATAGATTTCTTTTTTCTATCATTTAGTTTGTACATTGTTTATTTTTTCTTGTGGGTCTTTTTTTATTTTTGACTTTCAAGAGGGTTCATATAATAACAATTTCTATAAATGAAGACTTTAATTATCTCTTATCATTTAGTGACTACTATATGACGTCAATTCAATTAAATTTACGAATTTTCATATTTAAATCCACAATGCAAAATATACAAAATATAATTAAAGAAATAAAGTCTAAAAGTAACAGTTAGATATAAAACGTATTACAAAGGTATTCTCAAATTATTTTTTCATGAGAATGTCTTAGGAATGTATATACGGAACCAAACTGTTTGGTTGTGGGACACACCTGATAATTTTATCAGTAGCTGGAACATGGTACATCCTAGTGAGGCTATCGCTAATGGACACACAAACGGCCATTGTTTATAATCAATATTTATTTTTACAATGTCATATATTATGTAAATGACTGAATGAAATGAATGGCCCACATTTATCATATGTAATTAATCCCACTCAGGTAAGGGAAATCAAGCATCTCATAACGCATTAACAGTCTTTAATAGTCTACTGCTGGACATAAGCCTCTTCTTAGAAAGCAGGTTTTGGCCTACTATACGAGTACCACGTTGGGTAGACGGGTTAGTACAGGGTTTGTTTCAAGTTTTCCTTCTCTTTACAGTGCTATTGTCCTGCTTAGGTTTCTCCCTTAGTCGGCTCTTAGGAAACCAATGGGTTGAATAGGGGTGGTGACACTCCGTATTCTTTATCCCTAACCACACGTACAAGTCAAGCTTATTGTCATCAAACGGACACTTTAGGATTTAAAAGGGCATTTATGTTTTAGTACAAAAATTCAGAAAAATAAATTTATTGAACTGAGAACAAAAAACGATGAATAAAAGTTGATTTGATAAGAGTAGTTTGATTACTGTTAATTATAATATAAATAAAATTGAACCAATATATAATTGAAAATATAAAAAGAATTGTGCCACTCTGTACTTTAAGTTTAGAGAGATAACGGTATTTAAAATATGTTTATGTGAATCCCCGGTTGGATGTTGCCAGATGGAACTTATTTCAATTATCATCCCCCCTTTTTAAAAGTATTTCATCAAAATGTCTATTAATAATTTAAAGAAAAACAGCTATACTCATTTTTTTAAATTTCACACCTCAACGAATAAAAGTTCGTCTTTTTCAAAGTCAGAACACGAAGAATGTACTCCAACCTCAAAGGTCGGCAACGCGCTTGTGACTCTTGGGTTGCAGGCGTTCATGGCAACGATTGTCACTTTCCATCGGGTGACCCGTCTGTTCCTTTGCCCACTTCAATTATAAAAAAATACTTAAATAATAAATACTACTTAAAATACTTAAAACTATAAAAAAATACTACTAAATAATGTACACAGAATCAGATTGAATTTGTTCGACTCAATACTCAAATCATTTATTGCGTAGGAATATGGTAAATTAAGAGTACCTGCGCTAATAGGATAGGTAGAAAAAGAAGGGAACTGAAGTACTTGCATGGATTATATTATCACACTACTACCCTAAAATATGCCATGTGCTACATCTGGCAACACCTAACCGGGTATGTACCTTGTCATTTCTGAGATAACAGTATCAGTGTTTAAATGATGTACAGTATTCTCTCTGTGTTCAGTTATAACTTTTAAAATAAAATTGAGGTTGATTAAACACATAATATAACTGTAATATTGTTGTATAATATGTATGACCTCGTAAGCTCCAGATAAGCTATTTGACAATTGATATGTAGTTTGGGACAATTGAGAATTCAATTTGGTCATATTTAAATTATGTCATTGTGCGTGTTCTGTCGTTGTCAAGGGAGAGCCCTGCTTCAGCACAAATGGGCCGGCTCGACGGAAGTGATACCTTGGCCTGACAGGAAACCGTTGTTAAGTAATTCTTTGTTGTTTAAGTTAGCGTGAGTTACCGAAAACCCAACCACCCGACGACGACGAGTCGTGGCCGACTTAAACGACTCCGCTCCCACCCACCCAAAGTATGAGCACTTAACATCGTGCTCTGCAGACGCACTTTACAGTATTAAAAAAGCAGACAGCGCGCGGTCTGCTTTTTTTACAAGCTTTTTATTAACTTGCAATGTATGTAGGTAACTATGTTATATCGGGTGGAATCTTGCAACTTAATTTTGAAGCAGATATCTTCAACCAATTGAGCTAAAATTTTGTGTACACGTTTAGTTTGGATGACAATGCATGGTTAGCTGTATGACATCATTCTAAATCCAACATGGCGGAACACCCAAGATGGTGACCTAGTTATTTTTAATATTTCACTCCTAAAATATGTGTATCAAATGAAAGGGCTTGCTAGGAATAACTCAAAAAAGCTTGTTTTTAAAAAGTTTTTTCACTTTGAATCAATTTGTTGTTAAGTCCATATTTAAATGCTCATACTTGGTTGGAGCGGAGACGTTTAAGTCGGCTACGACTGCCAACGCACTTGGCACTCTTTAGTTACAAGTTTAATAATAAGATATTTTCTCCTTACAATGTTTACAGTTATAAAAATAAATAAAATAAAATTTATTTGCAGAATGAGTCTTGGTTACATTTTGTATAATAATATGATTTTCATCTTATTTTCATTAGATTCTTTTATAAAGTTTGTTACTAAAGCTAACATAAGGTTTTAGGTTAGCTTTAGTAACAAACTTTATATATATATATATATTTATATATATACTTTATATATATATATGTCTATTCTAAAATGTGCAAGATTAAATATAAAGAGGTAAAACAAAATATTAAAAATTCTTTTGCAAACGGCCTGAGCTAGGTGTGATACCTGTATTACAGGCAGTCGCTTGACTATATTAGTTACAGGACGTTCATATGATTTTTTTTTCTTTTTATTGGTGTTTAGTGTGTACTTATTTAATATATATTTGTATGTAATATTATTTATTAAACATTTTTGTTTTAAATTATGATCAATTTATTTAGTCTTTTGACAAAGACAGACATTTATTGCAAAAAACTGTGTTACACATATAGATGTTTTGTAGTATGTAAAGATTTAACAGCTATCCAATAGGGCATTGCAGCTGTAAAGTACACTGTAAATAAAAATGGAAGATTACAATAAATTTAACAAGCATGCAAATGATTTTGTGAGGAAATACTCTTGCAAATCATAGAACCTTCGATCAATAATAGTACTAGATGCCCGATAAGCGCTTCAAAAACGGCCCGAAAAATAAGAGCACAAAAGTGTTTGTGCTCTTATTTCAAATTAGTATGGTCCAATCATAGCCAACAATAGGACGTCAAAATGCCGCAGTGCGCGTTCAAAAACTGTGTAAATAACCACCGTAACACCAAGGTTTTGGAAGGAATATCTTTTTTTCGGTAAGTTAATATCAATAAGTGTTTTTTCATAATATAATAAGTATAAACAGAATTAAACTGTAAATATAATTCAATTAGCGAATGTTATAATTGTTTGGCCAATGTTTGCTACAACGCATCAATTATTGTATCAAACATCGACTGTTCTTGAACAGGGAATGCATGGAGTAGTGTGGTTATTTTGTAATGTTATTTTTGTTTGTAGATTTGCTAGTGACTTATAGACTTTTAAGCTATAGACTTTTGTAATAAAACCTTAAATATTCCCGCATTTAGAGAATCAGAATGCACAGTAGAATTTATTAAGATACTAAATGATCTTTTTGATATCCTAAATACTAGAAATCTTAAGGACTTTGGATTCAAACACCCTTTAAATAAAAGACTTTAAATTAAAGACTACTTATTGTCATTATCAATTAATGTTGCAAATAAAAATTCTTAACAGAACTTCAAAATTGGTTGGTTAATTTGATGTGGAATTTAGAGATATTAAAATTTTATTTAGTATATCTGTGCGGGTCCTGCTTTTGGTGTCAGGGAGGGTCGCTTAAAGCATTAAATGCCTACATTTTTTTGCATCAGCTTGTTGGTTTGGATGAGTTTTATTCGCGAATTTATTCACTCGCGCGTAGTTTTTAATTTAAGATATCTCCTAACATATTCATTTAAATTATATGGTGTAAGATGCTATTATAATGTGTATGAATTGCTTAAGATAACTAATGTATTTATTTTGATAACGATTAATACTGTATCCGTCTAAATAGCTTTTGAAAATACCACATTATATGTGATAAAGTAAATACACATACATATTACACAAAAACGTAACGTTAATAAAATAATAAGTAATGTAAAGATACTAACAAATATACATAGATGTCCGAAACATAAAAAGTAAGCAACTAATATTTTACGTTCATATTATAAATTATTTTAGTGTTCAACGCGACTCCATACCTCCTGTAGTAAAACTAGAAGAAGCAAAAATAAAACAAAACAAAACGATGTAGCTCTCAAGGCAATAACGAGAAAAAGTACTTTATTTGTTGCATCATAAGGTTGATTTTACACTAAATGTTATTTTAGTTATGTCTTTTCATTCGAAAGTGATAGGAGTAATTTATTGCTTTGCTCGTTTTTTGCAAGGAATGATCGTAAGTATTAGATAATATTTTGAAGATTTGTGACTTTATTACTGTGTACCATAGTTGTAATTAGGTTGAACTTAAAACTATTTTAAAACTTTTCCATCCGTTTGTTTGTAAACAAATGTAGCTGCATAAGTATATATTCACGCGGACAGCATTTAGCTTTGACTTTGTACGTGACCCTTTATCTAGTTGCTATTGTTGATCGAAGCATATATAACACATTCTTGACTAACATTTTTTTTATTTATTAATAATTATCCTTAATTAACCATATTTTCGGTTTCGGCCTCCCTAAAGTATGATTGCCTCGGTGGTCGAGTTTTACTCAGCTTTTTATTCTTATACAGATATATTTCACGAGCATAACATTACCTAAACAATAAAAGTAAATAATTATTAAATACCAGTTTTATTTATTTATCTGAATACAACATTACTGATTTCAAGATGCCTGAAGATTTTAATTTTATTTATAAAATTAAACGTATATACAATAAATGTTTTTTTTGTTTAAAAATTCATGAACACAAAGAACACCCAGACTCAGAACAACAATTTGTGGATCACATAAAGTGTCGTCCCATGTGGGGTTTGAACACACAACACTCGGCGTAGTAGGAAGCGGCGTGGCGACCGCTAAACCACTACGCCATCCATGCAGTCGGTTAAAGTTATCGGATTTTATTTAAACATAGAATTTGACTCACGATAGCACGCACACCAGAAATAAACACGCACTCACACAAACGCACACAAACATAAGTATAATTATATGTAGGTACATTTATCAAAAATGTATCAACATGCGCCCACGTAGCACACACTTTTAAAATAAATATGTACGAGTAAAGTAAATAATTATTAGTCACATTGTTATTTATTGTTTGTTTGTGTGTGTAGTAGATAACACAGTTACATCCTGCCAATTTTTGATATGTCTTGTTTCAAATACAGGATCAGATGTCTATTTCTGTCATTCTTTAATGTTTCTGGTGCTGTATTGTTGTCACACTAAAGAACAGAACAATATGCAGGAATACGTTAACTTTACAATAGTGTTATAAGTTAAATTGTGACTTGAAAATCCACTTCATACGTCTTAACATTATACTTGCGACCAAATATAACAATACTGGGAGTGGCCATTGTGCAGTAGTGGTATGCTTTACGCCAATTGTTAATCGCTTCAAAACTGTAAGTATCTAAACTTTGAAAATCTGTAAATAATAGTTTTATTACTATTATTTTAGCTGAAGAGTTTGCTTGGTTGTTAGGTTGAACGAGCGATTTTTCAGTAACTGCTGGATCGAATTGAAAAATTATTTTAGTGTTGGATAGCCCATCTATTGAGAAAGGTCATAGGCTAAATAACATGACGCTACGGCCAATAGGAGCCGAGCAGCAATGACAAACGGGAAAAGAATATTCCTTTTCAGGGACGCAGACGAAGTTGCGCGGGTACTACATCCTCAACAAATATTCTATCCAAGTTTATTATTATTGAAATCTGATAGATATTGCAGGAGATTAACGTTTTAACAAACAATAAAAAAAAAACAGGTTGATTTTATTAGGAGAGATTTATAGGTTAATTCTTAAAAAAATGTTTTCTATATTTTTTATCAAGTTTTGAGTTCACAAAAAATTATAAATGTATTTTTAATAAGTTATTTATTTTATTTTTTTAATTTATTGGTCTAGTGGTTAGTGAACCTGACTGCCAAGTCAGATTTATGGCCTGGATTCAAACCCAGGACACATTTGTTAAATATCTGGGTGTTATTTTTATCGGTTATCCGAGTATGTATGAATTAAGAATTATTTAAGTATGTTTATTAGACGTCTGGTTACCATGGCATATATAGGCTCTGCCTAGTTTGAGATCAGACTGACGTGTGTGAAATTTGTAAAGGTATTATTATATTATTAAAAAATTGCTTATTTAAAAACATGAAGAATAAAATTAAAATTGTTTTCCAGATAAGAGAAAACAACATGAATCTTCTAAAGTACTGTAAGTTACTAATTATTTCTTAAAAACATAAATTTTGTGTTATTAATTTTGTATTTATACTAATATTATAAAGCTGAAGAGTTTGTTTGTTTGTTTGTACGTGTTTATCTGAGAAACTACTGAATCTACTTGAGACCAACAGAATTGAAGCGATCATGTAAAACAGAATTTTCCCTTTTAAAAGTTGTAGAAAAAGGCCGCGACAGCATAGGTCTATCTTTTAAGGTTGGCTCACTGTACCCTTTTATGATAATCAAATTAGTACTGAAATAATGCATTATTTGCTAATGTGTTTTTATAAACATAATATTAATCCTTATCCAAATAAATACAATCATAGGCTACTTTTACCGCAATAACGCGCCGGCATACACGCGGCTGAAGCCGCGGGGAAAAGCTAGTTCACCTCATTTCATAAGTGGGACTATAGTTCTGTTTATCCCTTCGCGGATATTGGTGAGTGTGGTAAGTATGTGTGAAATTTTTAATCTTAGATGTGATATATGAGATGCATTTGAGAATTACGAGTTACTTACTTTGTAACGTAGTCGTGAACATATAATAAGTATTATATGCCTTTGAATTGCCTGACGTTTGACGCCAGATAGTACAGATCTTGGTCACAGGCTATAACGATACCGGTCACCTACATAAACCTATTTATATAGGTTGTATATACCAATAATTTGCCCGAGTGATTTACCGTCTATCTAAATCTATGGGCAAATCTACGCCCATAAACGTGATACGTCAATAAAATCATTAGAAATTGTAACATCATCATCAACAGTGTTAACCGTTATTGCTGGGCATAGGTTTCGGGCTAATAGGATTACCGCGTTGGCCAGACGGGTTGGTATAGCATTTGTTTCAAGTTATCCTTCTCTTTGCAGTGACTAAAAGTGTTGTCCTGAGTAGTTTGCTTTTACGGCTTTTACGACACCCACGGGATGAATAGTAGTAGTCATCCTCTGTATTCTAAATCCGTCCACGGTAATAGTTTCGGTAATACAATTTATTAATACATTTTTATGTCTTTGTTCTCAGGTTTTATTCTTTATATAGCCGTGATGAAGTACACATCAGCGTGTACGATTTCATATGATGGAACAATCGGACAACAACTTTGCATTTTGACTTGCTCAGGTGCAATTGATAATTCAATGCTACATTTAGTCAACGATATATATGGATTTAGGACAGATAAATGTAAGATCTACATAAATGGAGAAAAAAGGTTATACATATCAGAGCTTATCTATAGGCCGATCACGGTTGGCATAGGTTCCATTCCGTTAATAAGGGGAGCATATACACAAAATATACTAGACGCTATCCATAGTCTAAATTTAAGTGACAACGGCTTCAGTAGTACTCCTCCTTTAAAAAGTATGACGAATCTTAAATTGATAAACCTTTCAAGGAATAATCTTACCACGGCCATATTATCTAACATAAACGAATTGAATATGTTAAATGAAATAGATTTTTCATTTAACAAAATAACTGATATTAAAGTTTACGACCTCCGTCACAAATATGGTAAACTTACTAGAATTAATTTATCTCACAATCATCTCGTAAATATACCTGAAGCTATTTTCGACGAATTTCGTGATTTACAAATACTAGATCTGTCATTCAACTGCATTGAAAGATTAAGTGCCGTTACTTTTGAAGGTGTAAGAAAAATGTCCAAACTAGATTTATCTAATAATAAAGTAACAAATATAAATGCGTCACTATTTCGGTTCAGTGAATTAAATTATCTCAATCTTAGTAATAATCAAATTGAAAACCTTGAACCCAATGATTTTAAACAACTATCCAAGCTAGTCACTTTGGATCTAAGTTCTAATATGATAAAAGTAATTGACGGTAACGTATTTGAAAATACAATTATGTTGGAAACTTTAGATTTGAGTAAAAATCTGTTGCAAATTATCAATTCCAATGCATTCACAAGCTTACGTTCTTTATCTAGTATTGATCTTTCAAAAAATGAACTTAAATCCTTACCAACACATTTATTTAAGAACACTAACATTTTTAATTTTTCTATTGACGAAAACAAATTTGAAGGTTCACTAATAAAAGGCATGTTCGAAGGCATAAACGTAACAAAATTAGACCTCAGTCATCAGTTTTTAACAGAAATAAAAGATTTTGCTTTTCAAAATTTAGACAATTTAAATGAATTATTTCTCAATTATAATAATATAACTTTTTTATCAAGCAAATGTTTAAAATCTTTGGTAAGTCTAAAACATCTAGATTTATCTAATAACCAAATAACCAGCATAGATTTTGATAAAAATGATTTGACTAATCTTCAGTCTTTAAGATTAAAAAATAATCTTCTTTCCGAAATAAAACCCGAAGTACTAGCTTCTTTAGGTAGGCTCCAGTTTCTGGATATTTCTGAAAATCAAATTTCACATTTATCATCAACTTGTTTTCAAACACTGAAGGATTTAATAAATTTAGAAATTCGTAGTAATCCTTTGGTGGGAACAATAGAAACTGGAACATTCGGCGGGTTGGTTTTATTGCCTAGTCTGGATATGTCGTACAGTATTCTAACTGCAATAAATAATGCTTCTTTTAGTGAAATGCACAACTTAAAGGAAGTTAATCTAACTCATTGTAAAATAAATGAGTTACAGTACAATGTCTTCATTCATACAGGCAGCATTGAATCACTTGATTTATCGTGCAACAAATTGACCGATTTTTTAGTTAATACTACAGAATTAGACACTCTGACTAGATTATATTTGAATAATAACTTAATAAAAACGATTTCATCCAATTCACTGAGTGAGATGTCTCGGTTAAATGAAATTAATCTATCACACAATGTTATGGAAAATATGCCAGGTGAAGTAAGTTTGATTCATTTACAACGCCTCGATTTCTCTTACAATGAGAAATTAAATTTTACAGTTTCAATGCTAAGAGAGACTAAGTCTTTGGATAAGTTTCTTTTGTCAGGTGTTAGAACAGCAATAACTTTTAAAAATATGGTAAGAGATAGTAGCATAGCTCAATTGATAATTTCAAATTGTTCGATTTCCAATATTAGTCAATTATATCTGCAAAAACTGGTAAACTTAGTTTCTTTAGACTTAAGTTTTAATACAGTTTCTAAATTACAAGTTCTAAATATTAATGCATTAACTTCATTAAACAGCCTTGACATGTCATTTAATAAAATATCATATATCCAGCCAGGTGCATTTAAAGATAATAGTTTTTTATTTGTTTTGAACATTTCTCATAATTTCATATCTTCCGTTGACTATGGAATTTTTCGCGGACTAAATTATTTGCGAATTTTAGATATATCATATAATAAAATAAAAGATTTACAAGGCGAAAGGTTTTATGAAGTTAAACATTTAACAGATTTGATCGTGGACTTCAATCAAATTGAATCAATAGATCCTAAAGATTTTGATAGTACTAGTTTATCAAAATTAAGTATAGGCAATAATCCTATTGATTGTCAAGTCTTAGTAAAGTTACATAGAATTAACTTGTCATTTCAAATCACAGCCATAGGACTAGATGAACATAGCGACGAGAATGTGAATGGGATAATATGTAATAATGTACGTAAGACTAAACCAAAATTGCCACCTATTAATAATGGTAACGACTACAGCATACTTAAAAATCTCGAAAATATTTTAGAAAATTTCAATAATATAAGTATTGAAAATGAGGCAAGGGACAATAAATACTTAGAGAAAATATCGAATAGCTTAGAAAATCTATCGCGAATTTTGATTATTAATAACAATACGAATGTAATACTTAGCAAACTCTTAAAATCACAACAGATAACTGCTACTGCTGTTCTTACCACTTCAGTGACACCAACGCCAGATATCAATCGTGGAACCACTTATACTCCTACAAAAATAGTTACATCTAATGCGAGTCAAACAGTAGATATCATTTCTTACATAGGTCAGATTAAGAAAGAGCTGGAAAATACTATAGCTTTTGAGAAACAAAATATCATCAATAAAATTGACAGAAAATTCTTTTCAAATGCTAATCAATCGGAACTTTTGCCCGCGGATATTGATCATAGAAAGTTGATATCCAACACTAACAAAGTTCCAAAGGCTTTGTTTATAGAAACCTATATTGCCTTAATATTATCGATAACTTTGTTAGGGATGTTTGTTGGTGTACTTTTTTACAGGTTTTACAAGTCTAGAGTTAGAGGTAATTTTTCAGTAAGCAATCACGTCTTACCTGGCGCCATGGACAATTCTAGTTTGTAGTGTTATCAAGGTCAGATCCAGGGGACAGGACTGGATCTTATTCGTGCGATTTCAACTGTGTATTCAATTTGAAGCTTGTCGGGAATCTCTTCCACTCAAAAATGACTTCACTATGTTAAAGATGATGATGTGGTAGTCAGTCAAATAAAAATATTTGACTGACTACCATATCATCAACACATCAATAGCCTTTAATAGTCCACTGCTGGACATAGGCCTCTCCTTAGACAGGACGTTTTGGCCTACTATACCACACTGGCCAGACGGCTTGGTATAGGGTTTGTGTCATGTTTTCCTTCTCTCTATATATAATGAAGATTTACCTTTCTCAGGATTAAACTGTCAGCAGCACATACTTACATGGGTATGTGTCTACCTACTGTAACTATGTGTTACGTACCTTAGTACTTATTACACTATCATTATTATTATTGTCAATGATTAGTCATTACAGAGTTTGTACAATAAGATCAATCGAAAGTATTTAAGATAAAAAAATAATTAATTATTAATAATAAACAAGAACCGTAACACGGCTGTTTAGAAAATCAAATAAACTGGCATTTTAAAATATAATATATCAGACAAATGCGTACCTACTATTCTTAGTATTAATTGCTTATATACCCTTATGATACCCACTTATCGTAGATACTAAGCTTTATAAGATCTAGGTCTCTAGCGGTTGACGCAATTTAGGCAATGAAAAATTTCTTGACATCTTCCTTCGATCGCATTCTTCTCACCCCCAAGGCCTTTTGGCCCTGCGAGCCATGATTACGTATTATGTGTCCTGCGACCCACTGCTACTTCAGACTTGCCCTTTTGTGAAGTTATTATGTATGTGTAAATATGTATATTTTAATTAAAAGCTGATTAAAACGATAGAATATATATTTTGGTGTTTTTTTATAAACATCTTCTTGATTTAAAGGTTTTAGTTTTAGATTTTTTCAAATTTTTTGATGAAATGTTTGCTAATATAATAAAGTGATATTTTTACTAATTGTGTGTTTGTCTAAGGGCCGGTTTTTCAATCCTCAGTTATACTGTCAGACAACTAACTTGGAAATAAATTTATATTGCTGTTTATCAAGCGAACAGCGGCAGAGTGGAGGATGGGCTAGGGACAGACAGATTCTCTATCGCTGGCTTTGTCCAAAGGTGGTGAACACTGGTCTGACGCAGACCGTCCGGCCAAGTCGTAAGCCGACTGGCAACAGTTAGGAACGGCGGCTCTTCGAACGCTACGAGGAAGGCCACCTCTATAAAAAAGCCCGGGGCGGACGGACCTGTGCTGTTGCAGACCCCGTCCGGCCCAGCCGTAATCCTGAACGGACAGGACCGATGGGTCTTCAAAAGATTGCAGGTGACAAGGCCCCTACCTCCACCGGTTAGCACGTGGGGATCAAGTGTACGGCGGAGGTCACCGTAGCAGTAAGGCCTGCGCCAGATTGGGACCGAAGCCGGGAGGTCGGCCTTCCGCCCTTAGGCCGTCGCCAGAGACGAAGGGTGTCGGTGGAGAGCGGCAAAATTCGCGGCGGCGGCTACAGACGAACTTGGGTCACGGTGCCGATGCTCAGGACCTTCTGCTCATGGCACAGTGGTCCATCAACATCGCCTCTGTCGCTGAGCCATCGGTTTCTCGTAACTGCCTGGGAAACCGACTTGGATGGCTCGGCGGCACTGGTGCACGGCACTGCCGCTGGCAGGGTTGCGTAACGGCGGTGGTTGGGGATATAGCGGTCGATTCTACTTATTTCACGTCAAACAAACAAAGAAAATGCAGTGCGTACGGTTAAAAAAATTATAAAGAAAGCTTTTACAGAAAAAGATAATGTTAATTTATTACTGAATATCTTTCTTTTCAGGCTGCAAAATTAGATGCGTTAAGACCAAACAGAGAGAATAAAATTAGAAAGTCTCAAGAATGACAACAAAAATTATTAACGAACGTGAAACGTTCTTTAGATACAGGGGAGGAAATATGGATGAAACAATATAGGGGAAAATGGAATCCGGGTAGTGGATAAAATGAGTTCTACAGATTATAAAGTCTTGGATTTGTTGGGCAGGGAATCTCATAGACACATTGACCAGTTAAGACAGCGATCGCGAAGTTCTTTAATTTGTCCGACAAGCAGATGTGCTTGTACCGCTCAAGAGAACTCCGTTCTGATGAGACTCTTGAAGCGGCACGTTCAGCAAAATCCGAGGTGATGCCAGCGTCAGTTGTGGTTGAGACACATAGCTCTCGGAGCGTGAGCGAGTTAAGTCCGGTTTGAGCGGCGATTTTCGAGGAGTTGCCGTCTGTGTCGACTTCTAGTTCAGTTCCTCTAACTAATGTTTCCCGTCTCCAAAGGGGTGTGTAATACTTCGGCATGTCGCTTACAAAGACTACCTAAATATTATGGTACTTAAGAAGTAGTTTTAAGGAACCATTTGTAAAGTGTATTCCTACCTAAATTAAGTGTGTAAGTACAGAGATTCTAGAATTAAGATCAGCTTTTAAGAAAATAATGTTTTTAGTAGAATTTAGAATAGTAATTATGTATTATTTAAGGTAGAGGGTTGTAATGTATTTTTGTTAACCCACATAAGTTTAGAATACATTTAATAATAATAATAGTGACCCAACATAAGCGGACACGTTCTTATAACCGGACTCATTCGTTATTATACGCTTGCTAAAGATCAAACCTCTTTTATTTCACAAACACTCTTCAGTTAGTTTACCTCAATGTTGTTTTATTTCAAAATGGTCTCATCATAGTCATAGAATAGCTTAGAATAGTGTCAGATCTGACAGTTATTGAACAGGGCAGCCATTTCAAATAATTATGTTAGTTTGTTGATGTTTGTTGACATAACTTTTTTAATTCTAAATCTGTAATTATGAAAATAGACACAAGTAAAAAATAGGGTTTGTTTTAAAATACAAGAAAAATAACAACGAATAATTACATAATTTTCTAGACAAAACATATGCTTTATTTTACTTTGAGCGCCTATCGAACAAACATGGAATAATTTAAAATCTAAAATACATATACTTTTTTCTTGAATGTAGTAATAATATTTAGACAATGTAGTATCCAAAATGTGGTAAAAACTGAATTTGGTAAATACCAATCGAAATTATTCTACGATCATGACGGTTTATTCTTGATTCGTCAAGTTTGTCAATTGCTCCAGGGTATGTTGCAAATGAATTACCTTTAACTGATACACTAAGTTTAATAAGTCTTCCTTCTGATATTGATTAATATATTTAATCAAATTTACATATAAATAAAAAAGACGTGTGGCACTCGGGGACTGCCGCGGTAAAGCTATTGCATAGCATTTTGTATCAACTTGTGCAATTATAATTATTTATTTATTTTATTTATGCAGTATTTCTTTTTCTTTGATATTAATTCAAGTTACACTTTTTGAGCGTGGTGACCAATAAGAAAACAATTTTTTTTCTTTTATTAAATAAAAATATTGAAGCATGTATTACAATTTGTTTTTAAATAAATAAATAAAAAATATTATTATTAAATCAAATTACATATCCATGTAAGATTTTTCTGCATTATGTTGACGAAATTTCCTTTGACGTTCAGCATTTGATTTTGCTACTGTTTTTTATTTTGTTTTTAGCGTGAGGTTTATTTTCGTTACGGAATTTCTGGATTCGGTCCCCGCGCTCAAGGCCCTCGATAGAAGCTATGCAATAGCTTAATAATAATATAATATCATTTAAAACCTCCTTTCTGAGGAGAGGACTATTGAAAGGCTGTTGATGATGATGATGATGACATATAAATATGTAAACAGTACATTGCGAATGTTATTTAGTTTACTTTTACTTTTTATTACAAAATACTCAAAAATTTACTGTGTTATATTCACAGTTGTGTCTAATAATATTATTATTATTACGAATATGTTGTTTTAAAATTACTTCCATTACAAACATGTCGAAAGTGACACCAAAATAAAATATTCAAATATTTTCTTTACATTTCATATTATGTTACAAGTTAGAAGTCATAATCATGTTTATTTATTTCATTATTGTTATTGTTATATTGTTCATAGAAATATTTGTTCTAAGACACTTTTACAGTTTTTGAACACTTATTCAAATATGATATGTATTTCACAAAAAAAAATATGGAATATAAATAAAATTTACTACAAAAAAAATCTCCCAAGGTGTTTATTATAATAAAAGTACATCATTTAATTCGGAAAATGTTCCATATTAGGTTAGTAACAATTTGCTTACATATTAATGTGTGTATAAAATATATAAGAAACCTTAGAGCGCAGCCGCATGCGCACATCATCGGTGTCTCCCACCGATCTGTGAACACACTTTTATTTTCTAAAATTGGAACAGTCAAGATATTAGCCAATACTTTTACTCCGACTTATTACTGAGCTAATATTTATTTAGAGAATAATATCAATTGCATAGTTATTTAATGAGCACAAAAACTACAAAAACAATTACTTAAATAATAAAATATTGAATCTAAAGTAAAATATTTAGAATAGAATAATATTTATTTCATAAAGCACAGCATACAAAAATAAAACAAAAGTTAAAAACAACATACACAAAGAAACTGAAAGTCAAGAAAGGTTTGATAAAGGCAACATTTTTCAATGTGTCAATCTTTCATTTCTGACAGAACTAACATGACACGAATCCAACCACGCGTCTATAAAATTTTACTTATAATAACTATGTTAGTACTTATCAACCTGTGTACCATAAAAAACCTTCAATGTTGAACTTCACTGATTGAGTTCACTCATTTTCAGTGCCCACCTTAGTGGTCGCCCTGATGCCGACAGTGGCTATATTATTCTATACTCTATATAGTCACTATACTATTCTGTAAATAAAGTAAGATATATACATACTACACATCACAAATGCTCTTTTTACAAAGCTAGCTCTGAAATGACAATAATTACTAAATGGTCGACATAACTATTATTCTTCTTGCTACTTCTCCATAGATTTATTTAGATTTACTGAGTCCTATCTGTAGTCGAAAAATAATTTTCAAATTTATGTAAAATTCCACCAAACAAGTAACTCGTAAACTTGTGAGTTAAAAAATTGTCATGTCCACTGTCAATTACACTGTGAATATTGAAATAATTAAAATCTGTTTTTCCCCCCTATTCATCCCGTGGGTGTCGTAAGAGCCGACTAAGGGAGCAAACTACGCAGGACAACGGCACTGCAAAGAGAAGGAAAACTTGACACAAACCCTATACCAACCCGTCTGGCCAGCGTGGTATAGTAGGCCAAAACCTCATTTCTAAGGAGAGGCCTATGTCCAGCAGTGGACTATTATAGGCCGTTGATTTGATGTCATGTGAAAGGTATTAAAGAATCACAGATTAGAATTTTCTATTGCCCCAGGTAATTCACGAGTGCTTAGCGAAAATCTATTTCTAATGAACATTCTAGACTTATAAAATTTGTACAAAACTAAACCAACTAAGATTAACAATATCAATGCTACACACGTTTCTGTAAATAGAGACTTTGGCGGTTCATTATTACTTGAAACTAACTTTTCATGACCGTGGTCCACTTCAGGGAGTGACCGTGTTTTGTCACTAGAGTTAAATTTGTTTTTAAATTCGTTTATAATGTTTTGTTTTTCACTTGCTATAGTATTTTCTAATTCATTTTTGATTTTGTTTATGTATGAAATAACATCTATAGATTGGTTAATATTAGAATTGTTGCTCATAGTTGGTAAGTTTGTGCTTCTAACCGTAACAGCCTGCGTTGTTGGTCCCGCAGTTGTAGATACAATACCGTTTCGGTTTATGTCTAACAATTTAATAATTTCATTTAACATTATGTTTGTCCTATTATTCATGGTTCTAAGACTAGATGTTAAATTAATTAAATTTGACATTTTTTCATCATAAATTGAATTAGACTTTTCTAAAAGGTTTGATATCTTTTCTAGATATTGTATGTCTTTATTATCTTTTTCAACGTTATTTTTACTTAAGTTTAAAAGAATATTTTGTAGACTCTTTACTATTTCAATATCATCTCTGTTGTGTTTGGGTATTACGGTAGTTTCCATCTCATGTACTTTATTACATACCACCCCATTTACATTTTCGTTCATATGTTCATCTATTCTAAGAGCAGTTATTTCAAAAGATAAGGGATTTCTCTTTAGATTGACTAAAATATCACAGGATAGTGGATTGTCACCAATACTTAATTTTGTTAGACTTGTACCAATAAAGTCATCAGCATTCAGCGAATCAATTTTATTATGATCTACTATTAACTGGGACAAAAAATTCAATTCGTAAAATCGTTCACTTCGTAAATCGTTTATATTATTATAAGACATATCTAGAATGTTTAAGTAATGTAATCCTTGGAAAATACCGTAACTAATAGACTGTAAATAGTTATGAGAAATGTTTAAAGAACTCATTAATGTATTATTTTTGAATGTACCTGGTTGGATAAACGCTATTTTATTGAAACTCAAGTCCAAATGTCGAAGTGCATGTAATTCAGTAAAGTCTCCTATTTGCAACTTAGAAATATTATTGTAACTCAAGTCTAAAGTATCCACGTGAGATATCCCGCTGAGATGTAAATCACTGATATTTTGTATACTCGCATTTGATATTAACAAGTCTGAGATTTGGTTGTCTTGCACGAAATGTGCAAAATTTATTGTAGTTTTAATACCGGAGAGAACTAAAGTATTTAACTCTTTTACTTTTTCTGAATTAAACCGAGTAATATTACACTTTTCATTGTACGATACATCTAAATATCGCAAATCTATTAGACTATTGAAAGATTCACTATCAATACTAACTATAACATTATAGGATAGCGTAAGATTATTTAATCGAGATAAACCTCCAAACGACGTAGGTGAAATAGTTTTTATAAAATTATTATGCAGGAAGAGCATTGATAGTCCTTTTAATTCAGTAGTATTAACGACAAAATCTTTAAGTTGATTATGTGATAAATCGAGTGTTTCTATATACCCAGTATGGAGAAATATATTATACTGTAACTCACTTATTCTACAATAAGACATATCCAAGTTTTTTAATGCAGTCATGTCATTGAACGTTGCGTTCTTAATCGTAGTTAACATACTGCGTGAAATATCAAGACTGGGCAGTGAACCCAGACCTTGAAACGTGGCCGTTTCTAAAACACCCTCTAATGGATTACTATTTATTTCTAAGTTAATTAAATTTTTGAGAAATCGAAATGAATTTGGTTCCAAATGAGTGATCATGTTTCCGGAAATATCCAAATATTCTAGGACCTTTAAGTGTTGTAATTGTTCATGTTTTATTTCTGTTAAGCGGTTATTTTTTAAGATAAAAGATTGGAGATTACCCAGATCACTTTTGTCAAAGTTTATGTTCATTATTTGATTATTAGAGAGATCTAGTATTTGCAGGTTTACTAAAGTCTCAAAACACATATATTCTAAATTTAGTATTCTATTAGATTTGAGGATTAAAGTATCTAGCCTAACAAGGTTATAGAATGTGTAATCTTTAATTTCAGTTAAATACTGGTTGCTTAGGTCTAATCTTGTAACGTTTACACCTTCAAACATTCCTTTATCTAATGAACCCTCTAATCTATTTTCGCTGATAGAGAAAGTTAAAATTGTCATGTTTCTAAATAAACGTTTAGGTAAAGTTTTTATTTTATTATGTGTAAGTTCTATACTGTCTAGTGACTTCAAATTTGCAAATACATTTTTATCTAGGACTTCAAGCAAATTATGCCTTAAATCTAAACTTTTTAATGAAATCATTGCTTGGAAAACATTAACATCGATAGTCTTTATGTTATTTGAACTGAGATCCAGTAATTTTAGTTTAATCAAGTTTTTAAAATCATTCATTTTCAATTTGTTAATTTTATTAGCACTGAGATTGAGAGTTAAAAGTTCGCTAAATCTGAACAGAGCAGAATTAATATCTGTTAATCTATTGTTCGATAAATTCAAGTATACCAACTTTTTTATACCTTCAAATGTGAACTGTGACAAAATATCGATATAGTTGTATGACAGATCTAGTGTTTCCAAGTCATCGAATGAATCGAAAACGGCATCAGGAATATTTACGAGATAATTATGAGATAAATCGATTATGGTTAACTTGTTGTAGGGTTGCTCTGTTGGGTTAACTTTTAAATCACTTATCATATTATTTGACAAATCTAGTTGAGTCAACATACTTAATGGATTATAATTGGATAAAAAGCCTGTAGTTAACTCATTATTAGATATGTTTAATACTACCAGATTCATCATACTGTTGATGATAGGTGTTTGATGATAATTATTCTCACTTAAGTCTAAGGTATGTATGATTTTCAATAGTTCCTGCGCGTTCCAGCTATTCATGATATTTGGCACTGGTACGGCTAAGTCCACTAAAGTCTGTTTCAAGACGAGTGTCACTGGGTACATCCTGTTTCCATTGTGTGAAATTAAATGGTGGCACCTTTCATGGTGCTGTCCATCGTAGTATATGAATCTGTCCCAATTCATGTTCAGATTAAAATAATTTATACAAGTTATAGTATAGCTACACTGTATCTCATCGCTAACCGTACACATGTCCGCGGAAGCTGCAACAATTGCGTAGAAGATAATATCTATAAAAGAAACAGAGAATTTTAGATAAGACACCACGAAAAACCACGACAAATAAGTTACAGAAAACCAAAAAAAACGACTCTTGCTCTTATTAAAAATTATTTGATTTCCGATTCAGACTTTTAAAAGATATAGTGGAATAAAGAAAGTCACATACAAATTTTGACACATATATGAAACCTTTTTTTTTCTGTGCGGAAATCCCTTCGGATACCACTTACCGGTGGCAATGTCGGGCTCGAACCGACTAAAACCGCACGCCGTCTCAGGTACCAGTAGTCGGGGAACCAGGTGTACCCTAGAAAGGAAATCCCTGGTGCCCCGACGTACCTCGGGCCATCTACGGCGGGTAGACGACCCTCCCTGTGTGGCAACCCCCATGTTCCCTCTGTGCTCCCGGAAGGGCGCGCGCGCTTCATAACGCGCTCGCCGTCACCCCGGCCTGCTTCTGCTCGGATGACAGATGGCGTCACTTGTCACCCCAGGCCTGCGTTTATGGCTGCACGATAGCCGCAATCAGGCTATCGAGCGAGAGAACTCCCACTCCGATGGCCGCCACGAGGTCTCGCCTCTGCTCCACCCACGCCGGGCATTCTGCCAGCGTGTGGAGCGCCGTGTCCACGGTCCGAGCATCGCAGTAGTGGCACTCAGGTGTTGGCTCCTTGCGGATCAGACACAGGTGATCCCCGAAACATCCTTTCCCAGTGATCACCTGCGTCAGTCGGTATGAGAGGGTCCCGTGATGCCTCTGGAGCCAATCCTCCATAACGTGTCTTACCGCCGCGATGACGGCGTGCCCGGTGCTCGGTTGCCCAAGTCGTTCCATCCACTCCCCTACGAGGACCCGGCGGAGTTGTTGTTTCTGGTCATCGATTTCTCGAGTCTCAGGAAAAGCAACAAAATAATTAATTAATTCATTAATTTTTACATTGAAGTTACTGCAGCCATTCTAGTTACCATCAGATGTCCAGTCTCTTTGTTTGCACCCTACACCATAATAAATAAGTATATTTATATAAGTATAATAAGGTTTATTTGTCTCAAAAAGTTATGTAGGTGCCCACATTTTGTACTATAATTTTAGTCCAATTTAATTAGTTTAGCTTACGGGAAGCCTAATCCCGTAGCCGGGCCTGATGGCCACACTGTTGACGAGTATAGGTTTACCTTAAACTTTGGTTCAGGGTCTGAAAATTATCCCATCTAATTTCTGAAGATTAGATGAGAAAATTGGGATGACTTTAAAATAAGGTAAGGCTATAAAAGAAGTGGGATATTGCTTATGCAAAATGAATTGAGGAATTTAAACCATAGCTTTGTTGCTTTAATGCCAACTTCTATAATCAAATCGAACTTCTTTTTAATTTTAACCAAATCAAAAAAATAAAAATTATCTGAAATATACACATATAAAAGTAATACTTACAAAATATTCGCATGTCCATTGCTACATACCTGAATAACAAGAAAAATACTGTGTAAAAAAAAATGGTGGTCTTACGTCAAGACATTAAAATTATCGTCTGCAGTATTTCCGGACCGATGGTACCTTCAAAAAAAAAGCGTACTCTTTCCTAAAAGGCCACGCGCTTGTGACTCCTGAGTTGCAGGCGTTCATGAGCAGCGGTAGTCACTTTCCATCAGGTGACCCGTCTGCTCGTCTGCCCCCACTTACTCGTACATAAAAAAATAATAAGTAAATAAATTACTATACGATATACGAAACGATATACGAAACTAAGAACTTGTACTATGGTAACCAGACTGCATATACTTATTTCTAAATACATCTATATACATTATTTACATAAATTACACCCAGCGACAGAACAAATGATAGTGCTCATCACAAAATTATTTGTCCTGGGTGGGAAGCAAATCAAAAAAATTAATAAAAATAAAACAAAATTCCTTTAATATATTACCATAGAACAGGTAAGACCTCCTTTCTAAGGAGAGGACAATGTCCAGCAGTCTGTTGATGATGATGAAGGTCTACGAAGGGACCTATGAAGTTGGAGATTTTTAAAACAAGCATTTTCAGCTTTATTATTTTTTATATTTTATTATTTTAATTAAAAATCCAGTCATTTGGTTTAGATAGTATAATAATAACATTCTCACACATTTCACAAAATGACATCTGATCCCAAACTAGGCAGAGCCTGTACTATGGTAACCAGACTGCTGATAAACATACTTATATATTTCTAAATACATACATTTATAGATAAAGAACACCCAGACACAGAACAAATGACCGTGCTCATCACACAATTACTTGGTTCTGGGTGGGAATTGAACCCACGACCTCTGGCGTAGCAGTCAGGGTCACTAACCACTAGACTAACGGGCCAGTGTTTTGTTTTTGTAAAATTATGGTAGTTTTAAATAAATAATATAAAATATAATATACTGAAAATTCGTACAATTTTTGAATATGAGTTCCCATGTGAAAATACCTCTGCGCAAACGACACCAAACATTAACGACATGTACGGGCCTAACACTGCTTGCATAAACACGGTCCATTAATGGTTCAATCATTTTAGATCTGGAAATTTTGAGTTGAAGAACGAGCCTCGCAGTCAACCAGTAAGTGTAGTCGACCGCGACGAATTTAAGGCGATAATGGAAGCGAATCCAACTCAATTCACGGCTAGTTACGGCGGAGTTAGTGCTAAAACAACATTGAAGCACTGACGTCACTGAATCGGTATAGAAAGGAGGGAAATCTGAATAGAATTGTTACCTGAGATGAAAAGTAGATCCTGTACGACAACCGTAAGCATTCGTATCAGTTGGTGGACCGGGGTACAGCATCTAAGTAGTGCGCTAAAAAAAGATTACCCGTAGGAAAATGTTGGTGACTATCTGGTGGACCAATGGACTTGTATATAACAGCTTCTTACCGAATGGCACAACGGTGACGGCAGATGTCTATTGCCAAAAATTGCAAACAATGATGGAGAATCTTGCAATTCAACAACCAATCGCTCTTTCCCATTGCTTCTCCACGACAGACCATCGCAAAGCTACAAGAGTTATAGCTCGAAGCTCTTCGTTACCAACAGATATCAAACGGTAACTTTAACGGTGGGTCTTACCAACAGATATCAACTTTTCAAAATTAAGACAATTTTTTAAGTGAAAAAAAATTCAACACTCGAGAGGCAGTCCAAAACCCTTTCGCTGACTTCATCGCCTCCCGTCCACCAGACTGTTACAGTAAAGAGATAAACAAACTGCAGAATTGTATAGAAAATTTGGGCCAGAACTTTGATTAGCTAAATTAAAAAATAACCAAAATTTTTATATTTTAAAACTTTTATACAAATCTCCAACTTCATAGTTAAAGCCCTAATATTAAAGCTTCACGCGATTCCAAGAAGTGTTTGATTTAATAATTCTATAAAAGATTCATGCCTTCTCTTCTCTAAATATCAATCTGAATATCAGAGAAATTAAATTGAATGTTTCTCTAACTCGTTCATAAAAACATTTTTATATCATTAAATAATTTAAACTTACAAAACTGAATTTATATACATGTCGATGCACTTTTTGATGTAGGTACATACGATTTATAACAAAAAAGCTCATTCGCTAAAACACTACAAATTATACATTTGAATACTCACAGTTAATTTCTTTTGTACAACAATTATATTACATTAAATTCAAAAATACCGTGAAGTATGACCGTTCTCATGTTACACTTTGAGTGGAATGTACAAACTGCGCAATACAAAATTAGAATTCAGTAGTTACGAATCATGAACCTTACCTATTTTCTTAATTTGAACGGCAAAGAGATAACAAATTCATGAAACAGTCACGTTCGCACTATAAACGTTATTCAAATGTAACAAATTATTATTTAGTGGTTAAAACTCAAAGAAACTCTTTTTTTTCTGGGTCAATCTTGTCTGTGTTTAAGATATTAACAAACACTTCTTGATAAGTTCTGTGATGAAGAATAATATTTCTTAACTTATTGTGTACGTGCTTTAAATTAGCGATTACTATTCAAGTGGAAACTGCAACATAACTGACTCATAGGACCTACTTAACTGATTTAGTCGGTTCTTGCGACACACAAGAAATGAATAATGGATGGTAACACCGTTTACAGTATTCACCGCAAACAGGACTCCGGCGTCTAGGTATAGCTCACAGTGATAAAGTCCTGTAGTGACGGATTAAGACGTCCGTGTGGTGACGAATTAAGAATACAAATTGTCACCACCCCAATTCATCCCGTGGGTGTCTTAAGCAAAGAGCAAACTAAGCAGGACAACAGCACTGCAAAGAGAAGGAAAACTTGAAACAAACCCTATACCAACCCGTCTGGCCCGCGTGGTATAGTAGGCCAAAACCTCCTTTCTAAGGAGAGGCCTATGTCCAGCAGTGGACTAGTATAGGCTGTTGATGTTGATGATAAAGTCCATCAATTTAACCTAATTGGGTTGCTGATTTTTTTTATTGCATTGTTAAAATAACCAACCTATTTTTAAACAAAAAAAAGATAAATATTAAGAGCTACGGAACTAGTATATTAAAAATACGGACGATCGTGCCAGTTTTATCAGAAAAGCTGACAGGACGTTACTTTGTTTATCGTTCTATCATATTCATGAACAAGCAATCATTATGATTATTAATGGGAATAAATATGTTTGTATAGACTAATAATTTTTACATATGAATTTACAAGTTCTTTGAAATTAAGAAAAAATATCCCAAACTCTTATTTACAAAAAGGTTTTCTTTACAACTGTTGTTACCTGATCTCCTTTAAAAACTTAGTATATAAGTACAGTAAAGTTGTACAAGTACATACATGAGGGTCATATTTAAATACCGTGGATATACCAATCATTTGTCAACTCACATATTAAAATTAATGTAATTGGTGGCCATAAATAAAAATATATTTTATTATTATTATCTTTATTACATTAAATAAACATGTAAATCACATTTTAAATATATTTTGTACAAAAAGGAAAAGAAAATACATTTAAAAAATTTAAAAATAGTGTCCTATCGGTATCGAATCCGGGGAGATAACATAATACCAACCATATACCAAGATACCGGTGGTTAAGACTCCAGAGACAGAACTGATTTCTGCATTGATGCAGAAAGCAGTTCTGTCTCTGGAGTCCCTTAATCGTTGTTGGTCGAGGCTCTTAGCTATTAATTCATGGGCTGATATGACTATTGGTACAATTATTGCTGAATCTAGATCCCACATGTCAACCATCTCGTGGGACAGATTCAGATACTTTACTTGTTTATCATTTTCAGATTTCAAGAGATTGTCGTCACGTGGAATGGTAATGTCAACAATCATATTATATTTTTATTATTATGCTTCTTCCATACTTTCTTCAACTAACTGTCTTCCTAATGAAATGGATAACTATTTCTTTCGCAGTGATTTTATGTTGTACTATAAAAGTTCAAACTAAATTTATATTTGACTTAACTGAGTCTAACTTAACCTATTGGTTTAACTGTTAGTGATTCTAATTGCTAAACCAAAGGTCGTATTCCACCCGGGACAAATTATTTTGTGATAAGCACGATCATTTGTTTTGGGTGTAATTTATCTATAAAATGTATGTAGTTAGAAATATATCATCAACAGCCTTCAATAGTCCATTCCTGGACATAGGCCTCTCTTTAGAAAGGAGGTTTTTGCCTAAACTATACCAGGCTGGCCAGAAAGGTCGGCTTAGGGTTTGTTTCAAGTTTGCCTTCTCTTTGTAGTGCTGTTGTCCTGCGTAGTTTACTCCCTTAGCCGGCTCTTACGACGTCCACGGGATGAACAGGTGCCACTCCGTATTCTGAATCCGTCACCACACGGACGAACGCAACGGAAGCTCTCAAAGGTCGGTAACTCAGTAACGTTTCTTGAGTTGCAAGTGATCATTGGCGGCATTACTCACTTACCATCAGGGACCCAACTGCTCGATTGCCTCCTAAACAATTAAGAAGAAAATAAAGGTTATACTCACCACACAAACATACACTTTACCACAAACTACTATTGTTTCTTGCCATAAACAACAACAGCTTTAACATCGAAATAGTAATAATAATATACGACATTTAGCCAATTTCGTGCAGCAAATGTTTTTGACGTGTGGTGACGGATTAAGAATACGGAGTGTCACCACCCCTATTCATCCCGTGGGTGTCGTAAGAGCCGACTAAGGGAAAAAAAAAAACTACGCAGAACACCAGCACTGAAGAGAGAAGGAAAACTTGGCACAAACCGTATACCAACCCGTCTGGCCAGCGTGGTATAGTAGGCCAAAACCTCCTTTCTAAGGAGAGGCCTATGTTCAGCAGTGGACTATAAAAGGCTGTTGATGTGATGTGATGTGAATGTTTTTGTGCCATCACACCTACATTGGCTGCACAATTTTTTTCCTCACTATTAGTGTAGGGTAATCATTTTATGTCTTTCAATGAAAATGTTACTATTTAAAACAAAAATTTGAACATGCGGCCAAATCAAACGCTTTTATTTTCGTATTTAAATATAATAATATGTGGTGGGCTGATGATCACGTTATGATACGTTGTGAGGGTCACGTTATGAGACATGAAGATAGTTGCTCAGTAAATCAGTGGTTAAAGTCAACACCCAGCACGAACCAAGGGCAGACCATTACTCACATAATGTACCAGTATCAAGAGACACTTAAAGTAAGGAACAGAAGTTAAACGTCAACCCAGGACCATCCTGGCCATAGAAATCGTAATAATAAGACACGTGTATTATTAATACGATTTCTGTGATGCTGGCGTAAGAGCACGTGAGGTCAAGGCCCTCAAAAGCAAAAGTAGAGCCTATTACATTTAAAAAAATTTAATGATGTATCTTCATAACTTAATAAAGTGAATCCTGGACTATAGCCAAGTGTTAACAAAACACAAAGAGCCTTTGTAGACCTTATCAACACCCAATTTTGTGCCAATAAATGAAGGTATTATATAGAATTTCAATGAATAGTGTGTTTTGTTCCACATGTCTTTATCTTATAGCTTTATCGCCCTCAATATTATCCAAAAATACTATATTATAATAATTATTATAGACGCAAAATAGTTAGCATAGTATTCTCACATTCTGTCTATCTGTTATTCTCATCAGTTGTTTGACTCTAGCTCAATTGTCATCCTGAATTGAACTCATCACCAGACTAAGAATGCACTTTTGCTAAAAGTCATATATCTCCTGATCCACCTCTTTCTTTTTGTAGCCTTTATTTATTTATTTATTAGGGTTAACAACAGTCCTTAAAAATAAATATTACAATTTAAATTTCTACAATCAGGTGAAACCAATTAATGTTAACCACGTATGCAATTTTGATTTTAATAAAAATTGCCCAGACTTTGTCACAGCAAAAATGTAAAAAAATAAAAGTTGAAACCAAAACATAAAATATTAAAACTAATAAATTAAATTACAACTAAAAGAACAGTGAGATAATATTCTAGGCAAGCAGTGTGCTGAACAGAGTGTGTGTGTGTGGTGCGTGTATGTGTGTGTGTGTTGTGCGTGTATGTGTGTGTGTGTGTGTTGTGCGTGTACATATGTGTGTGTGTGTATGTGCGCTACAATATACTACATAGCATTACATAGCCCTCAGAATAACCAAAAAAGCAAAACAACATCCCACCCAACGAGATCCACATTTAACCCAATCACACTTTAGCTTGAGTGCCCGCTAGCGTGTTCGTTATAAGCGTCTTAAACCTACTTTTACTGTTCGAGAATAAATCTATGTCTTTAAATTCGGTATTATAGGTTATTATAATTCTGGAGAAAACAGAGTTCTTGGCATAATTTGTAGAACGTAAGGGCGCAACCAAGAGCCTGGTATGTCTTGTTCGTGTTCGAGGTACACTAAAGTGGATATTTGCTAGCAATGCAGGACAATCAAGTCGATTTCGTACAATATCGTACAGAAAACATACATCTAGCATTCGCCGGCGCTCTTCCAACGTCAAAATCTTATGTCCGCGACAACTGTCCACGTAAGAGGAGTAGCGTTGTTGAGTTTTGAAGTTAAGATGCATAATGATTTTTTTTTGTATTGATTCTATACGATTAGTATATATACTATAACAAGGATTCCATATGGGACACGCATATTCTATTATGCTACGTACATATGCAAAGTAAACAACTTTAAGACTTAGTGAGCACTGAAATGGTTTGCATGTTCTTAATACAAACCCTAAGTTACGGTAAGCCCTTTGTACTACCTTTTCCACATGGTAAGATAAAAGCATCTGGGAATCGAAGAAAGACTTGTAGCTTTCGGCAGCGTATTAAGCCACGATCTGCGTAATTTATTTTCTTTATTTAAAAAAAGGACAACTCCTGCAGTAGAAATGTATCCTATGTCGCGGAGGACTTTACAAACATACATGAAACGGACACAAAGAACACTCAGACTCTAAACAACAATTTTGGATCACACAAAGTGTTGTCCCATGTGGGAATTGAACCCACAATACTGCGCAGTGGCAAGCGGCGAGGTGGCCGCTAAAACCACTACGCTTCCTGTGCAGTCAAAAAGTACGCAGTTATACGTTTACATCATATTATAAGAAACGAACAGATGTTCAACATACTCTGTAATTGTAAGCCATATCCGCGATTTATGGATTATTTGTTAATTATTAGAATTATTGATAACTTTACTCTATTACTGACGATGTGAGAGTCATGCCTAGAGAACCAACTCGAACCAACTACACTATGAACCAACTCGATCAGACAGATAGTTTATTTCACACAGTTGTGAAATAAACTTACACTAAGACCTCGGATTGATAACACAGGTTCACAGAAAACTCAGCAGCACCAGACGAACAAACGGGTCTCCTGGTGGAAAGTGCATGCCATGAATGCCTGCAACTCAGGAGTCACAAATGCATTGCCGGCCTTTTAGGAAGGAGTATCCTCTTTTTTTGTAGGTCGTATCGGTCCGGAAACACCGCATACGATAACTTGTTACACAGATTGGTGATGACTTACCTATTAACTACTAAAGAGTATATTTTTGTTGTCTGAAAGAGACCACAGATTGCGATAAGACCCCCATAATATTGCTTCTTAAGGGTGTGTAAATAAAGTGTATGTAAATCAAATCAAATACATGATCGAAACTCAGTTTGAAGAAAGTCATTAAGATATTTAGAGAATAGTGTTAGTGTTCTTTCTGGTTAAAATAAAATGGTGATTTTTCACTAAGTATATTTGTAAACACAGACTCTTTATTGAAATGTAACAAAATTCAAAGAATATGTGTAAAAATTTACAAAAATAACGCATACATATAATATTCTAAGTAAACAATACATTACTTGTAAGAATAACAAAATGATTCAGTAGAATTGCGTACAATACAGACTAAAATTAACATAATTGTATTAACTCTCACTCTTATATTCTAAGATTTATAATAAAACTAAAAACTAAACACTGGAGACACGGTGTAAAAGATGCTGTTTTTTTGTGGATATTTCATTTTCTCTTATAGCATTATGATTTATGATCAGCCTTAAATTATTATTCTCCTCACGAATAGCCTCTAGGATTTTCTGAGTGATAATTAACAATCTTTCATCGGCCATCTCGTTGTCAGTGTCAGCAATGATATTTTCATTAGGAACTATACATGGTATTCCATCTACGGAATTGAGAGCTCTGGTAGGAACCAACACTACAGGCCGCATTTTAGAAAACTTGTTGTTATAATCCTGAAGGGCCTTCGCTAACCATTGGCACGTTAACTTATTGTTATCAATATATACTAGTAATGTTACTTTATGGCCGTACCATGCTTTATAACCTAAATAATACATATCATTCGATCGTACAGATAGGATTTGAAGAGACTTTAACTCCGTGAGTAACTTAGAATCTAAAGAAATAATTCGGTTGTAAGAGAGGTCTAAGTAATAGAGAGACCCCAAAGCATGGAATCCACCGTATTGAAAATGGGTGAGTTGATTATGACCTAATCGAAGGAACTTCAATCGTTCTAGTCTATGAAAAGAAGATGGACCGATTTCATTTATTTTATTAAAACTCAAGTCTAAATTTTCGAGACTTATTGGTAAAAGTAAAGATGAAATATTTAATTTTTCAATTTTATTAATACTCATATCTAATACTTTTAAATCTGTTTGTAATCTCAAATCAATTAGTGAAGGATTCGAAATATTATTAGAACGTAGTATTAGAGTTGTTAAACGTATCCCCTCCCCAAAAGGTACTTTAAGCTCAGATATCGTATTATTAGAAAGATCGAGAACGCCTCCTTGTGGATGAAACATTACTATTTGGATACTATCAAGTTTTTCAAGGGCATTTTTAGTCATATTTACAACTTTTAGATTTGAATTTCTATAAAAAGTCATAGCGGGAATAAAATCTAATCTATTGTTGGATAGGTCAAGGTTCTGCAAGTTATCCATTTTAGAAAAACTTTCAAAATATAAATGCGATATATGATTACTGCTTAAATTTAAATACTTTATGTAAACCAACTCTTTGGAATTTACAACAAAATCCTTGATTTTATTCTCAGACAAGTCCAGATACTCCACACGTATTAACGACTGAAAAGCATTGTATTCTACACTCTCGATAGTATTTTTGGAGAGGTCTATTTCTGTATGTATATCGATAGCACGCTCGTCTAAATTTGCTACATATCTTGATGAAATCTCTATGGAGGTGGCATTAGGAACATGAGAAATTTGATTCTCTGAAAGAATAATTTTACACCTCGAATAATTTCCAAAATGATTCCAATGCCTTAAAAACACAACAGGCTTTATTTTTTCCAAATTATTTTCAGAAATATCAAAAGTTTCTAAATGTTCAATAGTTTTTAAAGACTCGTCGTCAATATTTTGTATTTGATTACCTCTCAGATATAAATGTTTCAGAGTTTGAAGACTATTAACTGCACCATTCAGATCTTTGATTCTGTTATTATTCAATCTCAGTATTTCAAGTTTAGTTAAATTAAAAAATGGCTCTTCAGTAAGATCAGAAATATGATTGTAGGAGAGATCGAGTTCTGTTAATGAAGATAATGCCTCAAAAGTTAAAGCTGGTATATATTGTAGTGCATTATGTGCTAACCATAATCTGTTCAGTTTGTTGGGATGTATTTCAAAATGAAATAATTCTTGAATATCGGTTAGATTGTTATATGACAAATTTAAATCTTCCAGACGACTGAGATAAAAAAATGGTGAATTTGAAAGATGTTCTAAGCCGATATCGACGAGTATCAAGCTTTTTAGTCTGCTGGTGTACTGTAAGATAGCAAGGGATGCTTCTTTCCATTTTGCGGAAATCTTTAAGGAAGTAATAGTGCTAAGGAAATTGGTGTCAATATTGTTGTCAAACCTTTCGACAGCATCATTTAGATTGACGTTGACATCTACAGGACCGTTAGTGGATTCAATGCACTTTTCAGGAAGTCGCACCTCACGGATGGTGCCAAAACAGGTGATCTGGAACTTGCACTCGCCGTAGGCTTGGATCTTATTTCGCGGACAGTAGCATGCCACTAATGACAGTCCCGCCAGTATAGAAAGAACCGTTTTCAAAACTAAGGGCAAAATTATACGAATTATTATTTTCCAAATTGTACACTGAAAAACAAATCTACAGGGCATAATAATTTAAGAGTAATTTTTGCTTGTTTTTTTCTAAAACGTAGTTGTACGAACAATAGACGTGATGTCATATTACAACAATTTATAAAAGTCAATTCTATCACATCTATTTCTTACTCCTACATATTTTTAAAAAGGTACATCCTCATCTTCACTCATTCTTTTTTTTAACAGAACTTCGCTTTTTTTATGGAATAGGGGGCAACTTTGTTCTAGGGTACTATATAACATTAATGTGAAATAGGCATGATGTAAATATTTATATAAGTGTATATAAATAAATTATAACTAATTACCGTTGAACATGTTGAGTCAATAGTTGAGATTTGAGACTGGAAATCTGAAAATAAAAAAGCAACAATTGCTTACAAGTAACAAAACAAATAACACTAGTTTACAAAATTGAACTTTTTTTTTATACCCCAAAATAAATGTATATAAATATGTTAATCTACCTTCCTTAAATCTAAAAGTGTTAGCAAAAATATTTTATCACGTCACAATTTCTTCCTCCAGTCAAATGTTTATTTTTTAACTACCTAACGTGGTGACTACAGTTTATTGTTTATTCGTTCGCGTCAAACGACAATTAGCTTGTTTCGGATTGATTTAAAATGTCGAGTAGAAAGTGTAAACAAAGTTCTGATCGTTTTTGTTATGTTTGTGGACAGTTTATATTTTCAAAAAAGAGAAGACCCATTGTAGATTCGTTAAAAAGTGCATATCTTCATTATTTTGGATTTCCCGTTGCAAATCAAGATAAAAAGTGGGTTCCTCATGTGTTTTGCGAAAGCTGTAGAATCGTCTTACTCCAGTGGTCATCAGGAGAAAACGTTCACCTTCCATTTGGTTCACCAATGCTACGGAGAGAACCTAGTAATCATGAAAAACAAAAACATCATTATGTAAGAAAAGAATGGCCTATTCGGAATGAGTATATTCCGGGCAAAATGAACATTAAACACGAGCTGTTGGTAGATCCCAATAACGTCACTCTACCCCCTTTACACATCAAATTGGGGCTCATGAAAAATTTTGTGAAGGCGCTTGACAAAAACAGTGATGCTTTCCGGTATTTACAAAAAATATTTCCAAACATTACAGAAGGAAAACTGAAAGAGGTTTCTGGAGAGATTCAAAATGGTTGTGGAAAATTTTTTGGGAAGCAAAAAAAGTGAAAATTACAAAGAAATTGTTACCGATTTATTGAAAAATTTTCAAAAGATGGGGGTAAACATGTCATTAAAGATTCATTTTCTGCACTCGCATCTAAGTTTTTTCCCTGAAAACTTAGGAAGTATGAGTGACGAACAAGGGGAACGTTTTCACCAAGATTTAAAGGTTTTTGAAGAACGACATCAAGGATTTTGGGATGAAAACATGTTAGGAGATTACTGTTGGTCCATTATAAGAGAAACTGATTCAAATAGCTATAAAAAGAAGGCAAAAATTAGTCATTTTTAAATTTTTTTTAGTATTAATACCAAAATTATGTATTTCAGTTAAGTTAATAAATATTTCTTAAACCAGACGTGACCGAATTTTTTTATTATTTTTTTGAGATAATTCTACCTAAATGAATAACAAAATAACAACTTTCAGCTGGGGTATGAAAACCGTGTAAACTAGTGTAATTATTTATATGAATGTATTAATGTAAACCGTATCCAATTAAAATTTATTAACGGGTTCACTGTTATATTGACACGTCTGGGCCAGCTCGACAGGAGTAATATCATGGTCTGTTTTACCGCAAGCAATTTTTTCATTGACCTTCATCGAGTGGCCAAATCATCCTGTCTCCCTAACTCTGGGTAGGGGAAGTTACTCAGAAAGCGGCAACGCACTTGAATCTGTTTAATTACAGGTGTTGAAGGGAGGCTGTGGTCACTGTCCATCAAGTGACCTCTGTGTCTCGTTTGTCATCCATGACATAAAAAAAATATTTATCGCACTTCTAGAGATAGTAAACCATTGACAATTTATATATCTATATGTATATATATATATATATATATATATATATATATATATATATGTTTGTTTATTCATTCTGTCATTACGAAATTGTGCATACAAGTTGCCAGGGATACTGCAAAAGAATCTTCATCTTCATCGAGAAAAAAAGTTGGAAAAGAATGTGAAAATTACTTTTACTCGAGCAAAGCAGCAAAACAATTTAGTATAATTTAGTATAATATAATATAATATTGTACCAAATTCACACAACGCCATCTAGTTCCAAACTTAGCAGAGCTTGTACTATGGGTACTAGACAACTGATATAAATACATTATATACTTTTTTTTTATAAATACATACATATTATACATTGAAACACCCAGACCAAATCAAACATTACAATGTTTGTGAACACAAATCTTAATTATTTATAAACTATAATTCTTGGAAATGCTATAAAGTTTCTTACTTAATTATTTAATAATTAAAGTGATTGAATATCATAGCTTTTCTTGCATTTAAAACGTTATATTATAAATCCTGAATAACGCTATAATCTTTTTACCAATTTAGTCTTTTTTTATATTCTAAACACACTTATTATCTGCTTATATGTATAACAATAATAAAAATTAGACTTACCAGTAGCCATGAAGCAAATAAGACGTAATCAAGTTGAATTCAAAGTCCAAGTGAGCAGCAAACGCAAGTCACATAATTTGACGCTTGGTATTTTTGCTGAGACCGCGTAACTAGAAACGTTGAGGACCATAGAGTATACAAGTGGCATGACTTTACTACCTAATTATTTATACAACAGAGATGAATATAACATTATTAGATATATTAAATATCAATCTATTTAAATAATATTTGTTAGAAATTGATCTTTTTAGATTACCTGGTATGGACGGGTTAAGATTTCGGAGTGTCAGCACTCCTATTCATCCCGTAGTTGTTAAACTTGTAACAAAACCGCCTGGCCAGCGTGGGAGAGTTGGCCAAAATCTCCTTTCTAAGTTCGCAGTTCTTTCAATGGTTTTCACCGAGTGAGTGAGGGGTCAGGAGCTGCAAATCACCTGTCCTTCTAATACTTACTCAAAAGGGGGCACTTGTGACCATAAGTTGCAAGGGTCCATGGGTGGCGGTAGTCACTTACCGTTAGGTGACCTGTCTGCACGTTTGCCCTACCCATTTTTTTTAATCCCCGACGGAAAACAAGGGACGTTTTTAGTTAAATCTGTGTATTTGTGTATGTTATCTGTCTATCTGTATAAATTTATACTTTTTTTGTAAATACATAGATATTATACGTAGACGAAATCAAACATTACAATGTTTATGAACACAAATCTTTGACTTGACCGGGAATCGAACCCGCGACCTATGGCTTAGAAGCCCGTTATACAAACCACTACGCCATTCGGGCCTCTAATTATAAAATTATAAACATTCAGTCAAGCGCGCTTGGTGCAATCGCAAGTGGCACAAACTTTTGGTACACTAACACTTTAAAATCATATCAACTGATAAGAAGAAACAACGTCATCGAATATCAAGAGTGTTAGACCAAGTTGTCAACAACAGGTACTTTTTGTTCGTTCCTTAGGTAGTTTTTTATGGTCAACTGTATTGAACTAAATTGACTTGAATTAAATAAATTCGCTTAAAAAGTAATAAATTTGCCCGATTATTGCATTTTTTTGCTTGATGTTTGGCTCTTATTGGTCGCAATGTTATATAGCCTTCCTCAATAAATGGCCTATCCAACATTAAAAAATATTTTTTTCAATTCGAACTAGTAGTTAAAGAGATTACCGCGTTCAACCAAACAAACAAACTCTTCAACTTCATAATATTAGTATATAATATCTGATGAAAGTACGTGTTTAATACAATATCTACTCGTAGTAAAGTTTCACAATAAGCATAACAACCTATGACGTAACTATTTGTTATCTAATATATAAAAATCTTGTGTATTTGCTATCGAACTCCCCCAAACAGCTTAACCGATTTTTATGTAATATTGTGTGTATATCAATGGGTTCCTAGATAGCTGTAAAACACAATTGAATTCGGTAGGAGGCGCTGCTGTCGGTACGTCACAAACTTTATTTATTAACTGTAAGGCAGTACGAAGGTTGCCGGGTCCGCTAGGTTTACATAACTTTGTACAAAGGTTATTGTTTTGTTGAGTTAAAGGCGACTCAAACCTATTTGAGCTAATAATTATACTCCCTGATCCGTAATCATATAGAACTCAGTAGAAGCCCAGGCAACAGCACTCAGGCGCAACTAAACATCACTCGAACTGTGAGTTCCAGCATCAGACAAACATAGTTGACATAGAACAATATTAGTTTGGATATTGCCATGGTTGGCATGGAAATATCCAAACTAATATTAATAAATACATGAATGTACAAAAAATTTGCTACTGGAATGGAATTGTAACCTCTGAACCGCGAAGGTAAATCGTTATTGAAGATAAACTGCGATACGAAGTAAATAGTTAAAAAAATAACAGATACACAGTTAAAATACTTGGGTGAAACAATTATTGTCTATATTAATACAAGAAATTACAGTTTTTATTATTTTTTCTTAAAATGACAACTCCCGCACTAGGACATCCTGTGTCAAGGGGGACTTTACAAACATTCATGAAACGGACACAAAGAACACCCAGACTCAGAAAAACATATTGTGGATTACATAAAGAGTTGTCCCATGTAGGGATCGAACTCACAATACTCAGTGGGAAGCGGTCAGGTGATTGCTTAACCACTACGCCATCCGTGTAGTAATTGTCTGTTTGTAAGGTCAAAATTAAAACATTTTTTTAACCATGTAATTTGCCTCTCCCTTTTTGTTATTTTTTAAGATATTCACCGCCATATAGCAGGATTTTATAATGAGAGGTATCGGTAATGAGAGTAATCGGTCGCCACGCCGCTTACTACTACGCCGAGTGTTGTGGGTTCGATCCCCACACAGGACGACACTTTGTGTGATCCACAAATTGTTGTTCTGAGTCTGGGTGTTCTTTGTGCCCGTTTCATGTATGTTTGTAAAGTCCCCCGCGACACAGGATATATATTCCTAATGCGGGAGTTATTTTCTAAAAAAAATATATCTGTGCTACGTCAGGGACAGCTAAATATTAAGTAGTAATCAGATCACTGATATACGTAATACAAATATTATATATGCGTAATAGTCATAATTATATGTACTGCGCATTATACTATGTAATAAATTCTTTCTAAATTTAATCTATGAGATAAACAGTAAGGCTTTGCAAAATATATTTATTGTATAAACAGTGACAAAATGGACTTTGATTTAAATGATTAGAAATGTGCATACGACATCTGATCTTGTGCCATCTAGGGGGAACTGCCGCGCATTTGGGCTATTCTATCATAATAATATATTATAGGAAGCAAATATAGCAAACGTAGGACTTATAATGTTTTTGTGTCCGTGGTGGTTTCCTGCTTAAGAGGGTGTATGCGGTATTAATATTTTGCTTTATTTATATCTCCGGCTCGAAGTCGATTTAAGTATTATACACAGCTCCTCCAATTAACTTCCGATTGATTTCGTTGCGGGTTCCAAGACAGTTTAACTTGTCCTAGGACTTCCGGAGTATCGTTACTCGGTGTGTTCGTGGGTCACTGTTGTTGTTTCTGGTATAGCTACAGTTGTGGAGTGAGGTCCCATAAAAAGCCTTTTGTTACACTTTTACACCTTAAACTACCTACTCAACTAACCATGATGGGTGGTGACTTGGTTTAATATAATCATCATCATCATGAACAGCCTTTAGTAGTCCACTGCTGGACATAGGTGCCTCCTTAGAAATGAGGGTTTTGGCCTACTATACCACCAGCCAGCGGCCGGCTGGCTGGTGGTATACAGACGGGTTAATTTAGAGTTTGTGTCAAGTTTTCCTTCTCTTTGCAATGCTGTTCTCCTGCGTAGTTTGCTCCCTTAGTCGGCTCTTACGACAACTACGGGATGAATAAGGGTGATGAGACTCCGTATTCTTAACCCGTCACCACATGGAAAATTGGTTTAATAATTTATCTCTAAGTATTTAAAAATATACCTACAGGTTGACGGCAATGGGTGTGCCCCCATTCCGTAAGTGTAAAACTATAGTCGGCAAACTGTGGGTGTTTTGAAACGTGTCTGTCTGTGTGCAGAGATAAAGACGTATACATGTTACCAGCAGCGATAATAAGTACCAAAATAGCATCTAACATTGTAAACTGCACGGATGGCGTAGTGGTTTAAGCGGTCACTTTGCCACTTCCTACTGCGCTGAGTGTTGTGGGTTCGATGGGACAACACTTTGTGTGACTCACAAATTGTTCCATATCATATTGATTTATAAAGCATAGCCATATTTATATTTTGTTGGCAGTTTGTTTAATATATTGTTCGACAATTAAGGTATTGCAACCAAAAACATAAGTGAAATGGGAACATTCCCTTTAAAAGTGATAAGCAAAGGGCAATGACTGCATCCAGCTGAGCTTCAAAACCTTGGTAATCGTTAGAGTGAGAACTAATAAAATAGGTTTAAAATGTTCTAAGCAAAATAAGTCAAATAAATCCTTTTTTAGAGTCAACCACAAATTGTCCATGTCTGTCTGCCCACGTGATAAGTAGGCAAATGATAAAAATTAGACCATGTACAAAATACTGACTATACTTACAAAACACTTTCGTAAACGACATTTTCTAATAATATCAGGTAATTTAAGAGAGAAAATGATTATTGTGTAATATGTTAACAAGCTAAACACAATAGAAAGCAAAAAAAAAACACGGGGTACAGCTGCCTGTAAATGGAAGCGATACAGGCAACGAGAGAGATAGATGCTCGATAGTTCCCGCTGTCTCTGTTTAGCTAAGCTGCGATTGGCTATCGTGAAGTGGGCATGGTTATGATCATAGAGCAAGTGGGAGATTAGAAAATTACCCCAGCCAACCACAGAGCTCGACTAGAAAGAGATAGAGGGGACTAAACATTATCCATCTTTTTCGTTGCCTATGTTGCAAGATTGGGGGTCCTTCATCACGCAATGCTTATATCTGTATGCTAAACACAAAAAAAAACTGCGTGAAAATGAACACAAAATTTACAAAACAGCGTTTTAAATTTTTACATTTTTCATATAGGTACTCAGCGCCATTCACACAATTAAGAGACTTCTAACGACACCTCAATCCAAATAAATATAAATACTAAAAATATACATATTGACTGGCTTGTTGACCTAGTGGTTAGTGACTCTGACGGCTAAGCCAGGGAAAGCTGGTTCGATTCATACCCAGGACAAATAATTGTGTGGTGAGCACGATCATTTATTTTTTGTTACAGGGGGCAGATGAGCAGACGGCTCACCTGATGGAAAGTGACCATCACCGCCCATGATCTGCAACTCAGGTGTCACAACCGCGATGCTGGCCTTTTGCCCATTTGTTTTCTGTCTGGGTATAACTTACCTACATATAATTTGTTTGTATTTAGTAATATACATATGAGCATATTTATCAGTAGTTTGGTTACAATTGTACAGGCTTGTTATTGTATATTATTGGTACAGGGTACAGATAGTGTATACTTATACCACGCTTTGTTGTGGCACATTATTATCGCATTGATAAGAAATTAGGAACAAAACAAAACAGTTTTTGCAGAGTACACAAACATACTAGACATTTTTAAATATTTACTTACATACACTCGAAACCCTTCTTTCATAACCCTTCTTTTGGTGCAGTCGGGTAAAAAAGTTTTACATTGCGTATCAGATTGGAGATCGTGCTTTAACAGCACACTATTGACGTACCGGCGCGGCGGTGTATTGTCTCGGACATGACGACTTGCGTCTTTGTAAACGAAACGCTTCCTTATATAGATTTTTTCTCAGAATTAAATTTTTTCTCAGAATTCTTATGTCTACAGACAATCTTTCAAACCTGAACGGTTACTACCAGTGTAGTTACTCATCTAAAAAAAACCCTTCAGTTTAAAAATGTTTATTACACATAAGAATTCAAAGTTAGTTATTAATAATATTTAATCATCAAAACTATTTTAAAGACACGTATTCCCTCACTAAGAAGTGCCATCATTAGCAAAGTCTTCAAACCCGTCATAATCATCAGAATAATCAACAGGGAACATTGCTGCACATTCTTCTTCACCGATGAACGCATCTCGACTCACATAGAACGGGTTCAGATCTACTAACTGCAGCAATGGCACATCTCTTTCTACCGATAGCATAAATGCTATTTTTAAGTCGTCCCTGAAAAATAAATTTAGCAATTTGTCCTATCTTTACTGTAACAGTTTAATTTTATTAAGTTTTAAAGAAGAAATTAAAACATCAGATTGTGATGATACTAATAGAACCTTTTATAATGATAGTTACTTAATAAAATATAACGTTTCCTATCAAATATGGCGGTCATCTATCTTTCTTGATATGAATTACAAAGAAGTGACAATGTTTACTCACAAATTCCATGAAACCTTATCCAGAGTTTCGAATTGCTTCACCGTATATGCAATATGAACGCTATCGTAAGGACCCGTTGCCTTAAAAATACCCATCTATAAACAATGTATTAAAAGTAAATATTTCATTACGTTTCTTAAACTACTAATAAAACACGTCACATGTTACTAAAACTCCTGTGAATCTATCCTGCTAAGCTAAATGCATCCGATAGCAAAACCGCGTTATAACTCAAAATTTGACCACAATTTATGTATAAATGTCTATAATATATAATTAGCATAGTACATAGGCATAAAACATAATGTGAAGTACGCATGTTAAAGATCTGGAGTATTGAGGTCACCGTTATTTATATTGTTTTTATTTAAACACTACTGTAGCACAATTTATGTATAAATGTCTATAATATATAATTATCATAGTAAATAGGCATAAAACATAATGTGAAGTACGCATGTTAAGGATCTGGAGTATTCAGGTCATGTCTATACAAAAGTTGCCTGTAAAAGATTGCTTTTAGCAATAAGGCAGCCCATTAAACATATCCGTCTGTAATAATTATCCATCATCTTTTAATTGATGTACAATAAAGCATATTCTATTAAGTCGTTTCAAAGTTACTTAAAGAATTTTCAAACTACTTACATGTATCACAGCATTTTTATATGGTGTAATGGTCTCTAAAGCTTTCTGTCGCTTAGTTATTTCAAGCATAACTAACACATGAGGTGGCAGACATTCCGCTTGGGGTATCACTCGTTCTCGAACCAACTGTAATAAAACATACGTTAATTCTTCTTTGGAAAACTTATGAACGAAGCCAAGATGTTTTGTCAACTCGTTACAGTAAATTAACATTATCAATATCGTTAGCCGTTCTCGAGAAATTACAGGACAATAATAATAATAATTTAACACATCTCACACACGGTGGTCTGATTCCAAACTAAGCAGAGCCACTATGGTAACCAGACTGCTGATAAACATACTTATTCATATACTAGCTTTTGCCCGTAGCTCCACCCGCATCTATGTCGATTATTGCGCTAAAAATTAGCCTATGCACTTCCTGATGAATCAAACTATGTCTATACAAAATTAAAGTTAAATTGTTTCAGCGGTTATTGATTCCTCATACATACATTCACCCCCCTTTTCACCCCCTTAAAGGATGATTTCTCAAATTAAATCTAACCTATGTCCTTTCCCGGGACTCAAACGATCTTTATACCAAATTTCATCTGAATTGGTTCAGCGGTTTAAGCGTGAAAAGGTAATAGACAGGCACATTTATAATACACGCACTTATAATATTACCTTGTATGGATTCCTAAATACATTCAAATTATGGACAAACACCTACACACCGAGACACAGAACAAATGATTCTGCTCATCAAGTAATTATTTGTCCTGGGTGAGAATCGAATCCACGACCTCTGGCTTAACAGTCAGGGACACCGACCACTACACCAACAGGTCAGTCAAATTATGAGATAATAGGCGCAGAATATTTTATACATACTTTAGGAAACAACATAGCCAGGCCGTTGACTTTCGCTATTTCATTAGGTGGCGCATAAAACCCTGGGATCAATAAACCTGGTGGAGGAAAATACTCATCAGGATCATCTTCAACTGACAAGCAATCCTCTTCATCCTCCAACTCCTAAGGAACATAAAAATTCGTTAACAACATACGCGTATTGTGTACCATGGTACGGTGGCGCGACTCTAAATCCACTTATGTCTCACCTTCGGAACCACAATATCCACCTCATCATCTACCGGTCGGTCTTCCAATTTCTGTAATGCTTCTAAATTCTATAAGAAAAAAGGACTCGGTTATTAATTAACATAGCAATTGCAGTCACTCTTAGTATCTAGAAACGCTCTGAGCTTACGGACGTATTTGTGATGTTGCATTCGAATGCACTTAATCCATATCAGATAGATAGCTAAGAAATCATTACATAAGATAAACCTAAACCATCCGTGTGGTGACGCATTAAGAATGTTGAGTGTCACCACCCCTATTCATCTCGTGGGTGTCGTAAGAGTCGACTAAGGGAGACTACTCAGAACAACAGCACTGCAAAGAGAAGGAAAAGTGGACACAAACCCTATACCAACCCGTCTGGCATGCGTGGCACAGTAGGCCAAAACCTCCTTTCTAAGGAGAGGCATATGTCCAGCACTGGACTATTAAAGGCTATTGATGAAAGAGTTCATTTTTGGTTAAAAGCGCTAGGTGATCTCTGAATGCACTACTTACCATAGGTATATGGTAAGTCAAATAATCCGTTTTAGTTATTCCATATCAGATAGATTGCTAAGAAATCATTACACAAGACAAACCTAAACCATCCGTGTGGTGAAGAATTAAGAATGCGGAGTGAATAGGGGTATTCATCCCGTGGGTGTCGTAAGAGTCGACTAAGAAAGACTACGCAGGACAACAACCCTGCTTTATAAATCATTACAAATACTAGATATCTAGTTTTTATAATAATATATAAGGAATAAGCTAGATCCGGAATGGTGGCCGAATTCCTACCGTTTTGAATGTATTATTTCATCGACCAGTATTACTGGAGTCGTCAATGTATTGATTTTTGTAATATGACGGGTCATATACTGGACGTATATATATATATAATAATAATAATCTCACACATCTCACACACGGCCGTCTGATCCCAAACTAGGCGGAACTTGTGCTATTGTAACCAGACTTCTGATAAACATACTTATATATTTCTAAATACATTACAGATAAATTACACCCAGACACAGAACAAATGATCGTGCTCATCACACAATATTTGTCCTGGGTGGGAGTCGAACCGACGGCCTCAGCTTAGCAGTCATGGTCACCAACCACTAGACCAACAGGCCCTAGTTATATATAGGTAGCTGTTTTTACAACATTTTTCATCAAAGCTCGACTGACTACTGACACTAACGCATGTAGGAAGTCTTTACACTGGCAGTTCAAGTTAAAATAGCCGATGACATAAACCAAAATTATGCAAGAAAATGGCGTGAGGAGTCTATGGACCCCCGATCGGAACGAAGTTCCTTTCAGTTTTTGGTAGTTTAGTAGGTACTAGTAACTTGATACTTTACAATATTAATTAAAATGACTACCCATTTTAATTTATATTTTAAAGTATCAAGTTAATAGTGTTAAATTGATAAAATATACTTATTATGTTTAAAATAAATAATGATAAATTAAACACTGAATGGGAAAAATAAGTTAATTACAAATAATTATGCACGGGTTTAATTATAGCAAGAAGTGTCGGAAAAAAGTCTTGTTAGACATTTTTCATTGCTTGTAACGCTACGAACGTGTATTTTTTTTTAATATGATCGAAATTCGACCACATAGCGATCTGTACTAAATATCAATTGCCTTACGCCACTTTTCAACAGTTCCAACTTGTGCTGCTCTCTTTCCGTTCTTTTGGCTAACACAGCCTCTTCTATAGCTTGAAACGCTAATCTCCGCATCTCAGACAGCCGACGTATACGTTTTTCTTTGAGCTCTTCCTATTACATATCAATCGATTATTTCTAACAAATAATTTGTAATATAAATACGATCAACTTTCGAGCTCATAATTGTCATAAAATGTACTGGAATTTCGTAGTAAAGTCCGTATTAAATATTCAACGACAGTAGTGAGATCGAAAGTTGATCGGAACTTAATTAAGACCGAACTTTTATTACGGGAATTAGCTTTCTGCTCGAAATATCATGCAATTAAAAGATATGTAATACCTATTAAGTGATCGCGTTAATTTCTGTACATACATCATTACAAAAAAAATATGTTGTAATTGACAATGACTGATATTATATCTAGGTATCTATCGTCTTAGATATAGAGATAATTATTATGTGGAATGGGCGGGACACATAATCAAAGGAAAGGATAAATGGAGTAAAATAATCACATAATGGTACCAAAGGGATGGAAAAAGAAAGAGAGGTAGACTACAGAGAAAGTGGGAGGATGACATTAGACAAGTCGCGGGAATAACATGGGGTAGAGGGGCCATAGAAAGGCCAGAAAGGAGAAGATTGGAGGAGGCCTTTGCCACCTAGCAAATGGACACACAAAAATGAAAAAAAAGAATGATGTTTGAATGACAAAGATATACAGTTGTGCCCGAATGAAGGCTAATAATAATAATTATTATTATCTTAAGAGAATCCTCTGTGAGGTACAACAGTTGTTTAAACATTAAACAAATTCCGAAGGAAAATGAGGAGACTTCCCAAATCTTGAAAGTTTAACATATTTATATTACATGAAACTAAATGGCGTTGTGTGTCAGTGGTCCGAAATACTTATTTATTTTAATTATTATTTATATCAAGTTTTACAAAAACCTTGATACCAACCCGTCTGGCCAGCGTTGTATAGTAGGCCAAAACCTCCTTACTAAGGAGAGTCCTATATCCAGCAGTGGACTATTAAAGACTGTTGATGTGATTATTTATATTGGAAACTACTACTACTATATCTTTTGTAGCCATTTTGAAAAGGTTTATTAAATTAAAAAGTTTCTTAAATTATTTTTACATTTCAACTTAAAGTTGACATTCATATAATAATAATCATAATAAATTCTTTATTATAACAAATGTTGTATACAATTCAAGTGCAAGCCCTGATTCCCAAACTAGCGTGAGCTGTATATCGGGGATCAGTTCCTTCCCAAAAACATGATACAATAAATTGTTACAATTATCACGTGGAACATACAAAGAAACATTGAAGCATACTTACAAACGATATACTCGTATATGTGGGGTAGGTACAAAGAATTCTTCTAACGTATTGAAAGCAATTACTTCGAGGCACATAAATGAATCCAGGTCATTTAATAATACCTGACAATCTCGTACAACAAGAATGCCAACTCAGTGATATGAATTAGTTTGTTCAATAGGCAATTAATAGCTTCGATGACAAAAACAAAGACAAACAAAATATTAATACGTATTTACCTAAATTAATAAATCTCATCTCATCCTAAAAAAAATATAGCATAATTATTTTTCTTAAATACAATTACAATTTTCTTAAATTTTACAACTTTGGGTAACTTCATGTGTTGTTATTACTGCGGTTATGTGGCGTACGTTTAAGTTATACCAAATTACCACGTGTATTACACGCTTTTGGTTATATTTTCCTATTCCGCTATTACTTAATTGAGATCTCTGAGTGGTGAGAATCTCGTTTTCAAAGCATCCGCCCAGCTCGACCTTAAGTATGGTCGATCGGATTGAAGTCTTCGCTGCGTGCTGGCTACACGATAGATGGTCACAATCTCCCCCGGGTTCTTGGCTCTCGAGTGTATATAGAGTTCAAAACGAAGTGTTTTTTTCAAAATCAAAACCTAAATACTACTTACACTTCTAGATGTGTGAATGGGGAGTTGATCCCGATAAATTTTATACCCAACACCTTGTTATTTTCCCGAATTTGTTAGTCTACCCGTGACTGACTTTGAACAAAAGACGAAGAAAGAAAATAGCTCGCAACGCGCAAACACTACATATTGAAATTCGTGATATAATAATATATAATAATATTCTACGACATTCACAAAACGCCATCTAGTCCCAAACTAAGCAGAGCTAGACAACTGATATAAATACATATATACTACATATTATACATAGAAACACCCAGACCAAATCATACATTAAAAGTTCATATACACAAATGTTTGACTTGAGCGGGAACCGAACCCGTGACCTTTAGAATAGTAGTCCGTTCCACAAACAACTACGCCATTATACTTAGTTTTTAAGATAACGCTCTCGACGCGCTGAGGCAGTCACCGACCGCTATATACACATATAAATTCTTATACATCATCATCATCATCAGCCTATCGCAGTCCACTGCTGCACATAGGCCTCTCCCATTGCACGCCACTTAGATCGATTTTGGGCTTCTCGCATCTTATACATAATCGTGATTAATTCTTGATTGTCCGTCCATGAGTGTCCGTGTAGTGACGGATTAAGAATACGGAATTCCACTACCCCAATTCATCCCGTGGGTGTCGTAAGAGGCGACTAAGGGCGCAAAATAACGCAGGACACCAGCACTGCAAAAAGAAGGAAAACTTGATACAATCCCTATACCAACCCGTCTGGCCAGCGTAGTATAGTAGGCCAAAACCTCCTTTCTATGGAGAGGCCTATGTCCAGCAGTGGACTATTAAAGGCTGTTGATGTGTGATGATGATGTGAATTCTTGATAGACAGACCATGTGACTCATACCCTCATCCTATTAGTCTCTTCATGTCGCTGTTGTAAAATTTCTTCTCTAGAAACACTGTAGGTTTTGTAATAGTCATATGCAGTAATTAGTGGTAAATCTCCTTCAATAGACTTCGTTTCGTCATGGGGCGCAACGGCTACATCTTCGTATAGAATTTTTCTTGTCAAAGCTGGGAAATTAATATAATTAGATATTACTAGCTGACCCGGCAAACGTTGAATTGCAAAACAAAAAAAAAATAGGGATGGGTCACCCTTACCATTTAGGGGTATGAAAAATAGATGTTGGCCGATTCTCAGACCTACCCGATGTGCACACAAAATTTCATGAGAATCGGTCAAGCCGTTTCGGAGGAGTATGGGAACGAACATTGTGTCACGAGAATTTTATATATAAGATTAAACTTAAAATACTCGATACTTTTCATAATATCTGTAGGGATGGTCTTAGAAAAGAAACAAGGATGATTCCTTAAGGAGGAACATTTTCTTCTTTAAATATATTATAAAAGGTTTTTGAAAACATAATGGGGATTTAATCATACATAATCAAAAAAGTAATTAGCCATACCTAGGCCTAGAATTGATTTATCATGCGACTGTGACATACCTTCATTAATACCATATAAAATTTAACTGCGTACGAAATTCTATCAAAATACGTCTATTTACTGTGCGACCGACACGAATAAGTTGTGTTTGTAATAGAATTTTCACCTCCTGTGACTCATTTCCATATGGAAATGAGTATCATATTCGAATATAATAATCATCATCATCATCAACAGCCTTTAATAGTCCACTGCTGGACATAATCCTCTCCTTAGAAAGGAGGTTTTGGCCTACTATAATAATAGAATGTAATAATAGAATGTATAAATCTACGACCGGCCGTGACATATGACGATGTTACTATAATTGTGTACTGAAACCTTTACGTAGATGAATAAGGAAGCATAATGATTTTAAAACATTTGTCCCTATTTTTTTTATATTGGAACAAAGTTCCTTATCGCGCGTTGTGAAAGTGGGCTATACGGAAAAAAAACTCACGAAAAGTTGTAACAAAACTTTTTATGTCAGTCACTCAGCGCCATCTATCGAATAGATAGGAAATCATTACTTTTCATCTCAGTATTTATTTTGAATTGTCACTTGTCAGTCATTCAGCGCCATCTATCGAATAGATAGGAAATCATTTCTCAAGGAGATTTTACCAATGTATAAATTGTTTTAATTATAAACCAACTGAAAAATATGAAGGTAATAGCCGCTTTCATAGATGGCGTTGTAATTAAAATAGTGTCGAATCAGTTTTACTCGATCGTCACAACTTCGTTCCTATCGGGTGTCCCAAGACACCACACGGCTTTTTTTATATGTGAATCGGGAATGAATTTAGGCAACATTTAAGGTAATAACTAAGGTTACCTAATATCTGAAATAGTGAATAAATGAATTTAAGATAAAAGATTTTCTTCACTTAACAAGGTTTATCAAACTTCACGTGTGACCACGATCGTCGCATTTTATTTAAACTTTCTAAATATTAACTCACATCATCACCATTACATCAACAGCCTTTAATAGTCCACTGCTAGACATAGGCCTCTCCTTGGAAAGGACGCCACGCTGGTCAGACGGATTGGTATAGAGTTTGTGTCTAGTTTTCCTTCTCTTTGCAGTGCTGTTGTCCTCCGTAGTTTGCTCCCTTAGTCGGCTCTTACGACACCCACGGGATGATTAGAGGTGGTGACACTCCGCATTCTTAATCCGTAACCACACGTGTATTATCTCAACTATGTTTTATTTAAAATTCCTTTACATATACAAGTCGCAATCGCATATAGCTGTAAACAGTTATGTACTATGAATATTTCTAAATACAACGAAAAACATACTTCAGTGTCATGTTAACGAAGATATTCAAAAACTAAGGAGCAACTACAAATCCTAGAACGCGCTATCAGAGCTTTCTTGCTAAATCAACAGTGATAGGGTTACACACCTGCAAAATCAGTCGATTGTACATTAAGCAAACGCAAACACAGGGCTAAGGCAGGACCTGACTGAAGTTTATGCAACGAAGCCTCATTGAGGGGCGCGTCGCCTTCATAAAATATATCAGCTGCCACCTCATCTGTGATATCTATTAATTCGCGGCCAACCATCACTATGTCTGTAATAAAAATTAAGTTGTTCTACTTAGAGTAATGTAGATGCCATCGACTGACGAATAAACGACAAATAATTATCTTGTTATTTCTCTGTCTTGCACATTTAAAAAAAATAATTAAAGTGTAAACAAAATAATAACAAAAATTTGATTTACTTAGCATTTCCTAAGCCACGAAGGCTTATAATGAATGCTAAGCGTTAGTCTACAATCTAGATCGATATAACAACAAATACTAAAAGTAATAACATAAAAAAACGTAATACAGTATATAAGAAAACTAGATCAATAAAAACCTGTTCAAACTAAATTTGCCAAAAGCGTTACTGTTTTATTATTAAAACTGTCAGAAACTAATACTTGTAATAGGTATTTTATTTTTGGTGTGATAGTGGTCATAATTACATTACAATTTCTAATCAATTAGTTTTATACTATAATGATAAAAATAATAATACCGATAAAAACAGTCCTTTGAACTGTCACATTTTCAAAGTTAACATTTTAAAAATTTGTTCCAGGCATGCCAATCCCAAACAGCTTTGATATGTCGTGCATATCATCGCACAAATGACGTACGATATTTCAGTACTAGATAAATGTTACCAACTTCAGTATTTTACAAAAATACATTTGAAAATTAATTAGTATCGAAGGGAAACTCAGAACAACAATTTGTGGATCACACAAAGTGTTGTCCCGCACACAGCGCAGTAGGACCGCTTCCTAGACGTGACCGCTTAAACTACTACGTCATCCGTGTAGTCACAACAACAACAACAGTTTGAGCTCCGGTAACCTCACTCACACGGCGAAAAGCAACGAAAGAAAAGCCAGTTTCCTGTGAAGCCCTGGTATCACTGCGGTAGAACTCTCCCACGGTGGTAAGATTATTTAAAAGTATACAAAACTGTTAAAGTCCCAACGCTCATACAGCTCAGGGTGAGCGTGCAAGCAATGTGGCCAGTAAAGGACGAAGTTCAGATCAGTCAGGTGCGGGACCATGAGTTCAGCACGGTGACGCTTCCTGACCGCTTGACGGGCAATGCGCCGGGATGTTGTTGAGACCGCTTCTTCTTGTTTTTCTCTCTGTCTATCTGCCATCCATTCCTGCAACAAAATTCATCTTGTGTGTATTGCTGAATATAGATTGCTACACAGAGGTACACCCAGGTCTTAAAAATACTGTTTAATGAAATTATTTAACTTTATGCACCTTTGTACATCGGCGAACTTAATGCCCAGGGCATTCTCTTTCAGTCAACCTACGGGTGGTGTAGAAATCTTGTAAGGTAGGTGCACAGAGGTTACGTCACAAAATGTTAAGTAATAAATGAAAATATATGCGGTTCGCTATATACATACATTCATACATACACATATACACACATACAATACAACGCATCATAAATACACAAAATTATGTTATTCTATTTTTCATGTCTACATATGCAGATGTTATATTTATATTAAGTACATACATACTGTCATGCACAAACACATCAGTTATTTAAGTTAAAATTATATAAATTATCTGAATTTGGTGAACCAATGTATTTTCAAACCGTATCATTCATTTAGGTACCTTTTTTTTCCGTGCGGAAATCCCCTCGGATACCACCTATCGGTGGCATGTCGGGCTCGAACCGACTAAAACCGCACGCCATTTCGGGTACTAATAGCCGGGGAACTAGGTATACTCTAGAAAACCAGGTATACCCTAGAATAACCAGGTATACCCTAGAATCATTTAGGTACCTAAAGGGTATCCCTTTAACACATGAGACTATGATTTAACTTTCGAGATCTCCCGCTAATCATCATGTTAGCGCCAACTGGCGGTGGCCATAGAATTTATTGGCGCTAATACATATGAGCGGGTGCGCAGATATCTTCAGCGACTAAGCGCTGCCTGAAACTGATATGCTGAGTACGTTACGGCTGCCGGACAGGTGGGTAAAAGGATATGGGAAAGCACGCCTACCTTGATGGTCTTGAGATGCTGGTCGAGCTGCTGTCCAGACCTGGCGGGCTGATCAGGCGGCCTGGTCTCTCGTGGCTTCGGTGTGGCTTGTGAAAACAAAATGGCGGCGCGCCGCGCGGTATAAAGACACTAGCTTGCCGGCAAGGCACGATTTAACACTCAGCGGACAATGCGGTAGCGTGATCCGAAGACACTTGAACGCGGCGCGTGTTATACCAATATTTTTGGTTTTTAAAGTTTATATGAGATGCGGTAGCGGAGAGAAAAAAATAACGTGCGGTGTGTCTCGCGTCTCGAACGTCACCGAACTGTTCTTTTAGCGGCGTGCGTGCGGGATGTCGATATATGATCAAGGGATTGATAGGTGCCGACAGCCTCACCTAGCGGGAATTAAAACTAAAACTTAAAGAGTTCCTTTCTCTATGGACAGGTGGCGTTACCATTCCCCCGACCTTAAAGGGCTACCTTTAAAAAATATTAAAAATGCGGTAAGAAAACGCGGTAATATTTTGCAAAAAGATGCAAAAGGTGCGGAAAATGTATATACATAACATCTAACCTACTTTAAGCCTATTTAAAACTATTTGTGAGGATTTATAATATTGATTATTGACTAGGCAATGGGCACAATCGGACCACTGGGCGCAAGAAGCTCCCTTTACTAGTTCTAACTGTGACTACTCGCGTTGTTCCATCTTTCGAAGGATGAACGGCTTCTACAACCCCGAGCGGCCACGAAAGTGGCGGTGCGTTATCGACGATGATTACCACTACTGATCCCAGCTGGATCGGTGTAGTGGGCGTGGTCCACTTGGCTCGAGCCTGCAACTTATGCAGATACTCGACTCTCCATCGCTGCCAAAACGATTGAACCAGCTTGTCTAGGAGTGAGTGCCTCTCGAGCAGGTTAGCTGATTCTACGTTTGGTGCGGGTAGCGAAAATAGCGGTGCAGTGTGAAGAAAATGAGCCGGCGTTAGCGCCGATGGCTCAGCGGGATCGCTACTTAAAGCGGTAAGAGGGCGTGAATTTATGAGCGCCTCGACCTGAGTGAGCACAGTTAAGAGCTCCTCGTAAGTGAGTATCTGCTGACCTATCACCTTGAAGAGATGAGTCTTAACGACCTTCACCATTGACTCCCAGCATCCACCCCAATGAGGGCTAGCAGGCGGGATACGTTTGAAATCGATGCGACTCTCTGTCAACTCGTGTTCGAGGTGCGGACGAAATTCGTCAAGGAACTTATAAACGTCGCGTAAGTATGAGCGGCAACCCACAAAATTAGTTCCGTTGTCAGTATAAAAGCACTGTACCGGTCCGCGGCGAGAAAGAAAACGCTTGAGTGCGGCGAGAAAGCTGACTGTACTCAGCTCCGTAGATACTTCTATGTGTATACAGCGGGTAGTAAGGCACGTAAAGATGCATAGCCATGCTTTACGGCTCTTAACGCCCCTACCCCTAATGGGGGTGAAACGTATAGGACCGGCATAGTCACACCCACAGTGGGCGTATGCCTTTATAGACGGGTTTACGCGGGAGCGCTGCAAGTCCGACATCATCGGAAACGATGGACGCGGCCTTGCTCTGAAGCAAGTATTGCACTTGTGTATGCGGTGACGGATAACACGTCGTGCGGAGAGTATCCAATAATGATGTCTGAGTAAGGACATCAAATGTTCGGGACCGGCGTGTAAATGCTTCCTATGATATAAATCAATTAATATATCGACCACATGATCATGGCGCGGGAGCACACACGGATGCATTAGCGAATAGTCGATGTCGGCGTTCGACAGCCGGCCGCCGACGCGAAGAAGACCATTTTCATCTAGAAATGGTTTCAATCTCTGTAAGGCGGGCGAGCAGATTTGACCTTCCTTTATTTTATGGATGTCGTCACGGAAGTGAACTTGTTGTAATGCGTATAATACTTTAATTTCAGCGAATTCGAGATCTGAGCGGGTGACAGAAGGTCTGCGCGTTAACGATTTTGAGAATCGGAAAATGTAAACGACAATACGTAATAACTTCGACCACGAGGATATACGCTGAGCGAGAGTGTAAATGAGCGATTCATTAGCGGGTACGGTCACAGCATGGGCAAGCGGTTTCATGTCCGGAACCTCACCGACGGCGTCACTATTAAACTCGGCGATGGGCCACTCCGATGGATCCTCAGATGCCCACGGCGGTCCCTCAAACCACAGAGGATGGTTGATTAGCGAAGCGGGGGAGAGGCCGCGCGATAGGCAGTCAGCGGGGTTTTCAACACCCGGTATGTGATGGAAACAGCTGGCAGGCAAGTTCTCAACGACCTTGACAACCCTGTTCGCGACAAACGTCTGCCAGCGGTGCGGAGACGAGTTGATCCAACAAAGGACGACCTTTGAGTCGGTGAAGGCGAATACGTTTGAGACTTTATAGCGCAGCTCAAAAACGTCAAGTACCCTACGCATCAACTTCGACAGAAGTACTGCGGCACATAGCTCTAACCTAGCGATAGAAACGGTTTTGAGCGGCGACACTTTAGACTTCGAGCACACGAGCCTAACGAACCTAACAGCTCCAACGGTGACCTGTAGGTATACCACACAACCGTAGGCGCGTTCGCTTGCATCAGCAAAGCCCAAGAGGTTAGCTATGCACCCCTGAACCACTCCTAAATGTCGAGGAATACGGATAGCGTTGAGCGCAGGTAACTCGCTACAAAATTGGGACCAGAGGGTCAAAATGCGTTGGGGAGGCGTGTCATCCCAGCCGCATTTCAGTAGCCATAACTCCTGAATGAGGAGCTTCGCGTGCAAAATGACGGGAGCCACTAAGCCCAAATTGTCCCATAAGCGTGCAATGACGGACAGAATAATTCGTTTTGTGCATCCTGACTCAGGTGTATTGACCTTGAAATTAAAATCATCATTAGACCTATCCCAGTGCGTGCCTAATATTTTATGAGGTGTGCCACCCCTGTCTAGTTCAAGATCCGAGGAGGCGCGGTGCGATGCGGGAATGGCGCGCATAACAGCGGGGGAGTTACTAGTCCACTTCACAAGGTCGAACTGTCCACACTTGAACAAGTCAATGAGTTCCGTACAAGCGGCAACAGCAGCGGCCTCATCAGAGCGCGATGAGTCATCTGACATTATGCTGAAGCATACATCATCCATGTACGTGGAACTGGATGCGATAGCGGCGGCGGTAGGAAACTTATGTCTTTCATCAGCGATGAGCTGCTGAACGACGCGTACAGCGTGAAACACGCTTGACTTCATCCCGAAACAAACTCGATTAAATTCTAGAATTACTAATCGGTCTTGCGGCGAGAATCTAAAAAGAATCCGTTGAAATTTGCGATCTGCTTTGAGCATACCAATCTGCAAAAACATTTGACGACAGTCAGCGGATATAGCTATTTTAAACAAGCGGAAATTTAAAAGTATGCAATTTAAGTCACCCTGTAGGTTAGGGCCGGAATGTAAAACTTCGTTAAGTGACAACCCTGTGCTGGTTTTACAACTGGCATCTAGAACCATCCGAACCTTGGTTGTCGTTTTATCCGAACGTTGCACACAAAAATGCGGCACGAAATAAGAATCGGCGGGAGTTATTTTATCAATAGATCCTATCTCGGTAATGTAGCCCTTATCAATGTACTCGCGTATTATATCATTGTAGGCCGTGCGCAATGTAGCTGATGACTCCAATTTTCGTTCCAAACACATGAAGCGTCTTTTAGCGGCGGCGAGAGAATCCCCTAATTTATAAACATCGTCCCTAAACGGCAACGAAACGGTATACCTACCACTAGCATCGCGCGTAGTGGTGGCACGGAAGTGATTCTCACATTCAAGGTCATCTTGACTGTGGGCGGGCGGAGCGGAGACCTCTTCAAGTTCCCAAAACCTTTTGAGAATGCTGTCCAACGACTGTTCAAGAACAGCACAACAAGCGGTTGTATTTTTAATTTCGTGTTTAGACAATAATGCGGGCACAGAACCCATGATTATATATCCTAGAACACTTTCTATAGCGGGCGGTATCCCTGCAACATTACTATGTACCACGCCTGGTAGCAGCAAGTGGGGGAAATAATTCGCGCCGAGGAGAACGTGAACCTCGGCGGGCGAGGCG